TACTCTTGGCTGTGCTTTCTGAGGCCCCTGGCCATTCTTTTCCCTTGGAGGACTGTATAACTTGCACTCCCTAAATTAGCCTGCTTCCCTTAGATCTTATGGAGGACCTTAAGATTCACCTGCCTGTCCATCTTGACCTTTGTCACTTGAGTTTAGTAATCTAAATTTGTTCCTTATGTTGACTTTTTATTAATAAGGAATGTTGCTAAATTAAATTTTGGCACTACGATTTTTTTCCATTCCCCGTCCCCCCCAGCTTTAGTCTAACATTAGCTATTAACAGTTCAGTATCAGAACCACAATCTGTTCTGGTCTTGTTTTGGCAGATTGAACAGAGCTTTTCCAGCTCCTGCTTCTATATTCATAGTCTCATTGATTTCTATATTGACTATCTGGTGATGTCCATGTGTACAGTAAACTTTTCAGTTGTTTGAAGCATGCATTTCTGATAAACAGATTGTTGACACAGAACTCTATGTGTCACTCTCCTGCTTTGTTTCTATCCCCTAGACCAGTGGTGTCGAACTGTGGCCCTCCAATGTTCTTGGACTTCAACTCCCAGAAGCCTTCACCACCACCTCTGCTGGCCAGGATTTCTGGGAGTTGAAGGCCAAGAACATCTGGAGGGCCACAGTTTGACACCACTGCCCTAGACTATATTTCCCAACAATATTTGGTTCTGCTTTGTTTCTTACTTTTATGTTCAAGTCACTTATAATTATAAACATGTTTGGGTGTATGATAAATTTACTCCTGAATGTTTGCATAAACACTTTCAATTTCATCTTCTTCAGCATTGTTAGTGAAATCATAGATTTGAATTATGGTTATAGGTTTTCCATTGAGTCTCATAGATATTATTTAGTCAGACCTTGGATTATATCCCTTAAATGCTTGTGGTACAGCAATAGAACCACCCCATTTCTTCTGAGTTTGTCATTTCTAGAGTGGAATACATTGTAGCTGTCTGACTGAAAATATCCTGTTCCAGTCTACTCTAGTTCACTGACACCAAGCACTGTAATATTTATATGTTCAATTTTTTGCTATACAGATTTCAGTTTACCTTGATTGATATATTTCCTATGTTCCTTGTTTGAATTGTATATATTGTGCTGCCTTGGACTTTCCTTTTGCAGTACTTCTGTACATGTCACTTTAATCTAGTTGCATTATTAGTGACAGCACTGTTGGTACTTGTCCTTTGCTCTTCCCCAGTAGCTGATTGAGTGCTTTTTGACCTGGGAGTCATACCTTCCAGCACTATCTCATTTTCATTTTGGACTGTCTCATCATATGGTTTTCATGGCAGTGATAGTACAGCAGGGGTTGACTATTGCCACCTTCTGCACAGTACTAATAAATTTTACCTTGAGTTTCACTGATGTGGGAGCTTGAGAGAGGGAAACATAAATGTCCAGGATGAGCTGTAAGTCACTGATTATACATGAGAGTAATCTCAGTTCAGGGCTATAGGTGACTACCAATTATGTTCTGGCATTTTCTTTTTTGGGCCTGTCTTGTAGCCTGTGGTTTTTTAGTGTCCACCTTGCCCTGACATTTTCTTTTTTTCACTTAATTTAGAAGATATTATTGTTCGAGAAATGGCTGCTGTAAATCTGTGAAATTTGATTGAAACATGTCAGCCAAAACACCTGGAGGATATAAAACTGGGGAAGGTTGTTAGAATATATTGAGATTCGGTGCTTTTAATGTATCTCATTTTATTCTGTCTGAGTTGTAGATGATTGTCAGTTGTGTTCGATTATTTTCTTTTTCAGGTCTGTCTGCTACTAGGTAGGTTTTGCCCTGTCAATTTACTTTTTGCCCATTTTGACCTATCGATTTGCTTTTTCACCTCATTGATTGGGTACTGTAATTTAAGAAATGCCTTGTGTAAATCCTTAAGTTATTTGTCTCTGTCTTGTGGATCCAAACCCATGTGTTTATGTCAGAGGGTTTGGTTATAATGTGTTCTGTGCATAGAATTATAGAATAATGGGGTTGGAATTGGCCTATAAGAAGTATAGAAGTATATATAAGCATGTTATAAAGGTATGTACAATAATCAGTGGCTTTTCAGTATAATGTGGTGTAACTAAATGTTGACATTCATAATTCTTTAGTTATTTTTTTACTGAAAATGGAGAAACAGACTTACATAGCTACCTTGCTGAAAACCTCTAGAGAAGACTTATTCCATGCTCTGTTATCTTTGATTACATCTGGGAGACAGATTAGCTTAAAGTATCAATATGGCAGTAGTTCCCAAACCTGGTGCTTCAAATGTTCATTGTAACTCCCAACAGCCTTTGCTGCCAGAACAAATTGTCAGGGTTTCTGGAAACTGTGAGTCCCACAGAGAGAGGGGAATGGCATGTGGACTTGTGGAAAACAGTTCCCTGAACTGTTGCTCTTGCGTCCTAACATCCTCCAGTATCTTTTACCTTAATCAGCTACCACCCTGTGCCTAACGGTAGGGTCAGTTTCTCCTTTCATAGCTAAGATTATGCCTGTCCTAAGATAGTGTGCTGTCCAGTATTCCTTGAGGATGTCCCTTGCTCAAACTATATTATTTATCAACTCCCACATGTAATGGCAGTCTCTATCCTCTTCCTTAGGCATATTTTCTGGAAATCCTAAATTGATGGATATATTGTCTCTGATCTAGCATTAAAAACAGAAGCTACTTTCATCCAGGAAAATCAAACATGTTTAGATATGTCACGATGACTGATAAAATGTAGATGAAGTGCTTTGAAGATCATTCACAAAGAGCTGTCAAGATGCTGTTGATGTTGTTTTCATTGTCGCCACCAGCATGAGCCAGGATGGGAAAACGCGTACAAGGATATGACAAACCCTGTACACTTCCCTATAAGTGGCCGAGTTTGCAAAATGGAAATATGCCTGAAATAGCTCTTCCACAGATTGGTCCTATCTAATCTGAGAGGTAGCCTCACCCCACCCTGTGCCATTCACTTCTCACAGCAGCTGATAGGAGTGACGGTGTTGAGTGCAGAAGCTTTCAGCAAATGGCCCAACGGCTTGCAGTTGTCTCACTTCCTGCATCTAATCAGGGTTTCTTAACAGAGAAATATTTCTCTAGACGGGACTCTGGTAATTCACAGTGGCACAACAGCTCTCCTAGGGATTTCACACAAGCCATGGTCCCATGAGATCAAATACCGCATTCCCCAAAACTTTACAATCTCCATTCACAACACATTTCCTACCTGGAATGTTGCCCCATTTGAAAGTGATTGTCACTAAACAATTTTTTTTCAAATATATGTTCCATGGTTATATGTATAGCTTCAAATATACTTGTTCCCTCCATACTTATTCCCTGTCACTGGACTGGCAAGTGACTGATAGTCTTGTACTTCTTAGGGGCCTAGATTAGCCCTGAACTTTCCAGTTTCTAATCCCTGCTCTAAACAAAGAATGTAGCGTCAAACAAATCTTGTTGATAATTCTTCTAGGAGATGCTCAGTTTTGGATCCCTTGTTGAATTTCGAAAGAGACAGAGTTGCTTTTTAATTTATGTACTCGCAATATACAGTATAGTAGATCAAGGCATCATACAATTCAAAGACTCTGCAGTTGTTTTTCTTCTCTACCCCTTCCCTTAATTTAGTTTATAATTGTTTGGTTGTAAATTAAATGTAAGCAATGGTTTTGGTTGAATGTAAATGGGCACAAGACCCATGCTATGTCCATACCCACTTCCCTTTGACACAGAAGTTCCTTAGGAGCTGTTTTCAGCAAGCTTCTAGCAATTCCAAAATGGCAGTAGTAATCTAGTTTTCAGTGAGTTTCAGTGCCTGTTAGAATTTTGTGTTGTGGCAGTGTCACTGTTTTGTCTTTTCTAAGTCTGCATAGGAGGTTAAGGGAACATGCATATCTGGAGAAGAGAAAACAGTGACACTGGCACAATGCAAAGTCCTATAAAGGTTTTAAACCCATCAAAAGCTAAATTCGCTTTGCCATCCAAGTGCCTTAAAGTTTCAAATGGCACTTGGTGTTCACGTAGTGTTCAGAAAGGCAAAGAGTACTTTCTGTATTCCATAATATCTGTGAAGTATTCGGCTGGTAAGTATAGTCTATAGACATCACTCAATAAGGTGATCTTAGATCCAGTCTGGTTTCCCATGAACATCAGGCAGAGTCTTCTGCCTAATGGGAGTGATCCAAGTATGCAGCAGCTTGAAGTAGGTTCTTAAGCAGATATATTTGGAAGATGAAATCTGGCCTCCCCACCTTTTTTTTTTCATTTCCTTTTCTTTGCTGAATGTAAGATATGTTTATTACAAACGTTGTATGTGAAAACCATTTTTTCCCCAAAGACAGATGAATAGGAGGTTTTGTAAAAGGGGGATTGGATCTTGTTTTTTATTATTATTATTGTTATTTTTCATCTCACCAAAAAGAAAATTTCTTATATTTTTGAATCAAATTATCTGAAATGAAGTTGATCCCAACAAGATTGGGAAAAACCTCCACTGCTGCTACTACCACCACTGCAACCACTACTATTAGCACCACAACCATCAGCAAGATTAGATTTAGATTTTGAGATTACTGGTGTTGAATAATGGCCTGTGGATCCTTCTCATCAGTATACCATCCTGGCAGTGAAAGTATGAATACAAGCTAGCTACAAGAGATCTCAAGATGAGCAGTGGCAAAAATAAAGGATTGTACAAATTGATTGTGTTACTGAACTGTATTGTGTTCTTCTCCTAAACACAGAATGACTCTGAGAATTTAGCCCTGCTTCTCAAAGCTAGAGCCTCTCGCTCTGCCTTTGTAATCGGCTGACAATACAGGGGTAAAAATAACCAGCCTGCATCTGAAGGGAGATAAAAGTTTGCCTTTTGTGTCTCTCTGGCCAGTAGGACAGAAGCACCAATGGAGCTGTGTGGATATGACACATGGGAATTTCTGACATATCTCTTCCTACCGTGACCTTGACAGATACAATAAAAGGGGGCTTCACAGCATACAGATACACAGTCACTCAGCCCCATAGTCAAGGTTGGTAACAAAGAGCATGCCTTCTGTTCTCCGCTGTTACTTTGATTCACTTACCATGATTTAAAACAAGAAAAAAAGGAAATTGAGGAATAGGAAGCATCAGGATGGAATTTTAACTTGTATGGGTGATGCAGGACTGGTGAGGTTAATGATAAAAGTTGGGGGAGGGAGTGCATTTATTAATGTGTGAATTGAGCAAACCCACCAGCAAATGTGTGTGCTATTAATGTCATGTTTCAAAGTGCATGGATACTGAACATGGATATACTTTGCCACTCTAGCAACTTTTTTCCAGAACATAAGTGGCAACAGCCAGTTATGAAATGATTGGTGGAATTGCAGGGGTTGTTGGTATAGCTTATGTTATCATTGTTTTGTAAGCCTAAAACTGGAATATTAATTGTATGTATGTGTGTATCTATGTATGTTTTTTGTTGTGGTAGTGGTAAATTTAGTGGTTGCACTGGTACATTCATAGCGCACAGGGCATTTGACCACCATAATTACCACTAACACAGGAAAAGTCTGGCGTAGTTAGCTCAGTCAGACTTGCAGCCCTTAACAATTAACAAGTTTTATTTGATGTAAGCATTGGTGTACTGTGGGCCATTTCTTCAGATGCATACAGTACAGTATTCAAGCCACAGATTTATATAAAAATCACAGAGTTTTAATCCCAGCCCTCTAATAAAACACTAGACATTTCAAGTTCATCATCTAGTGTTTGCTGATTTCTCAGGGTCTTAGCAAAGAGTGCTTATTGGGCCTTGGTCTAATCAAAGATTAAAGCATTTTAGAATATTCTTATGAAGAGGACATATTCTAGATCACTTGATATAGATTAATTTTAGTGGTTTAATGCCGCTCAGAGTAGACTTCAGTCTAGATAAGTGGGGTATAAATTTAATAAATAAAAAATAAATAAATTTTGTCTTAAGTGTTAAGACATATTATACATTCTTGCTTTCATCATCATCATAGGCATACTTCAGTCTCGAGAGACTATGGTAACATGCTCTGTATCGAGAAGTGCCCTTAAATCTAAAAAACCCTGCCAAGGATTATAAGGAAAATATACTAAAACAAAGAAACAAAAAGTAGATGCTGCAGAGCACATTCACTCTCTCTATTGTTACAGGACAAATTAACGAATTAAAGAATTAAATAAACAAATCAGGATCATAATTATGATTTGGGATAAGAGTGTGATATAGTGTATAGGGAGTACAGAAACAACTGTTCATTATTGTATTGGAATTATGCATAAACTTTTAGCAGCTGACTGCCTCTGATTCACTCAGCAGAAAAAGAATATGGATCCACCAGAGTGACTAGTTGGAGGAAAGTTTACATGCTTAGATAGGGCAAAAAGAAGGAGAGCACACAGATATATGCATACATGTTGTCTCTTTTTGACCAATAGGTGGACTAATTATTTAGCTTTTTTGTCTTCTGTTCTCCTTAAGGGTCTAGAGTGTTCTGCTCATTTCTCTGCTGCTGTCCAGAATTTCTGTTTCCACTAGGCAAGATGTCGGCTTCTATGATGGACATGACTGAGTTTGGGGAGGCAGCTGAGTATCTCCGGAAAAGCTATGAAGAGATGATGAAATATCACACCATGCCATTTGATGGTAAGACATGTATGTATGTATGTTACAAACAATAAAGCAACTTGGAGACCCAGCAACTGCACTGGATACAATCCAAGTCCACAAAGTGAACGCAATTTTCCTGCTCAAGACCCAGCGTCCGTACATGTATGATATAATATTTGCTTTTAGGAAGGGTCTCATTCCCATGTTTGCTTCCTATATCCCTTCCAGTGCTAATGTTTCTGCGGAATCTGCAGCATTTTTTTCAGTATCATTCTCCTACTAGTACATAATGATGTTTCATTGGAACCCTGAAAGTTACTGCCAGGTAAATCATTCTCTGTGAACCCCATGTTTGATCACAGAGTTAAGGAAACAAATTGCTCTCATTAATTAGAGCTTATTAAGAGTTACAATGACTGTTGATCTTGAGAGAGCGCCTTTCTCTTTGCACAGAAAACTCTGCCAGATGAAGATGCTCTGATCACTACAGGTCCTGACTCATTAAATAGTTCCTTTGCTCAGTTATGAAATTAAGAAAGCGAGCAAGAGATTGTTGCTCCTCTTTCCCCCCTTCCTTTTTTGGTTTCTTTTTATAGGTTCTTTTTTATAGTGGCATGCCTATTTTCTGGGCTTCACATAATATGAAGCACTATTATAGTAGATTGTGTTACTTGTATTAATTGAGGTAGTTAGAAAGCATTATTTTGTGTTGCAGAGTTGTAATTTTTGTTACGCAGAGAGGGGTCATACCTGTAACTAGCCTACATGTCCATGTGATACATGTGCAGTTTTTTTTAAAAAGTCCTTCTAGATATATTGTAACAGAGATATCTGCTTCTCAAATACCTCTGGAAAATGTTAGTTCAGGAAACTGGTTCAAAGCCATCTGTTGTAGTGGGGATAAGCAGAGTTTCCTTCTGGAATGGTTACTAGATTCTTTACGTATACCTTTCCACCCCTGCCATTATCATATTACATGTGGGTTCCACTGCCATTGCTACAGCTTACAAGAGTGAGCTGGTTTGTTTCTGAATAAATACCCCAAGGCTAATGCACAAGGAATGCAAGAGGATGATGCCTTTGTTTGTCCTAAAATACATTTTCCACCTGACTCTGACTCTTGAGACTGAAAATGTCATATACAATTTCAGAAACTTGGATGATTGTCTCATGGCAAACTAAGGCCAGCTTTGGGCATCTCTTGAAGGTGTATCTTAAAATTTCAGATTTCTGGTTTTTTTGATAAAGGGAAAACAGTAATGATCCTGATTGGACTATTCTAGAAGTCCCTAGTCTGATTCTGAAATTATCCATATCAGCAATTGTCTCTCGCGCTGCACACATCTACTGAAATCCATTGACATCAAGAAGGTTCAAGCAGCCTATCTGTGCTCGTAATTATACTCTGTATAATTCCCCTGGATTGCACAGAATATCACTAATATTCATCCAGAGAAAGGCATGTTTGCTCTGCTTAGAAAGAAGATAGAGATACAAAACAAAGATTTCAAAATCTGTATCCTTCCTTTGAAAGTTTAATTTTTTAAAATGCAATTGTTTAGATCTGATTTTGAAGGATACTGCAAGAAAATGAACTTATGGAATTTCTGAATCCATTATTCTACACTTTGTTTTCTGTTAAAAAAAAACCTAAACAAAATTTAGCCAAACATCATATTTAATCGTATTTTTACTATTGAATGAAATATATTTTTATTTAAACTTTTACAACCACATTTGCATTAGGAAAAATTGTTTTACTACTATTTCCCCCCAAAAATAAGACAGGGTCTTATATTAATTTTTGCTCCAAAAATGCATTGGGGCTTGTTTTCAGAGTATGTTTCATTTTTTTTCATGTACAACAATCTACATTTATTCAACTACAGTCATGTCATCTTCTTCTGTTTGGTGCACAAGGGTGGAAGCGCGAGGTTTCACTTTGCTGGGGCTTATTTTTGGGGTAGGGCTTATATTATGAGCATCCTGAAAAATCATACTAGGGCTTATTTTCAGGTTAGGACTTATTTTCGGGGAAACAGGGTATACCTGCCCCAGTATCTTTTTATCCCTTGATTAATTACTAAGTTGTAACATTTTAATTTCATTTTCTTTTATAAATATGTGTACCGTAACAGTAAAACGGCCAAATTATCCCAAGTGTCCTAAAACTTATAGGGAGAAACTTAGCATACATCAACATATAGCAGCATCCAGCATTTTCAAATCTAACTGTCCAAGAAAAAAAGGAGGAAAAACAATGTGTTAAAAATGACAGTATACTATCACTCACTGTATATAACGTAAGAAAATAATGAAGAATAAGAATGAATATGTCTATTATACCTTTTTACTGCATTTTCCCTTTCATCTTGTTTCTTTTGGGGATCCTAAAGGAAAGAAGAAGGCCTGGATCCCGGATGAAAAAGAAGCATATATTGAAATTGAAATTAAAGAATCCTCTGGTGGCAAAGTCACTGTGGAAACCAAAGATAAAAAGGTGATTAATTTCTCAACTTGTAGATGATGATAGAGGGAAAGGGAGAGTAAGAGCAAGAGTAAAGATGAGATCTGTTTGCATATGTTCACAAAGAAGAAGAAAGAAGTGAGTGTAAATGCATTTAAATATGACACTTACTGGCAGTTCTAAAATGATAAGGAATCAAAACCAGTTCCTCTGTTATGGAAGAGTTGTAATTCCTGCTTCTTGTGGTTCCTCAGTGTTCTTTTGGGAGTGATCATGTGGGAAGGTTCAATGTTTAGCTTCTATTATCACTACAATACATGCACATACAACCAATAAGGGAAGAATATTATCATTCCCTTCCACATAATCTTCTCTGTTGGATATTACTGAAACAGCATGAGATGGAAACACGGGAGTGTAACAATAATCCTATGTCACATTACAATTTACAATGATGATTTCAAAACTACAAAGTATTCAAAAATGCGGTGGTCTGTGTCAGATTTGACTATGGATAATATTCCTTCCTAGCCCTCTTAGCTAGAAAGAGAATTAAATTTACAATAGTGACCAAAACTGAAGCTAGGGATGGCTGGGGTGAGGAGGTCAATCTGGCACTAAAATATGCTAGTTTGAGTATCTCTTACTCGTTCAGGGCTGGTCTGGTAATGCAGGTCAAAGAGGAAACCAGTCCTCTCAGTTCTGGGCACCCTCTGTGTAATCCTACTGAATATGTAGACTGTCTGAGAGCCTGATAAGTCATTGTGGGTGCAGGGGTGGATCTACTATAAACCTAATCAAGCTTCAAGGCCCCTAATCTCAGAGGGCCCTCAAAAGCAACTTTAGTCCATATTTTTTTAAACAAAGAATGTGGTGATCTCTTGTGGAACAACCTCAATGAAGAAGATAAGAGTGGTTATCCAGACCTTGTTGCTGGTTTTGAAGGGGCCCCATAACAGTTTAAGCTTCAGGGCCCCCAAAATGTAGGCCTGCCACTGTGTGGGTGCAAAGTTCCCAGCAGTTAGCACAGTCATGGGGTGGTTTGGAAGAGAGGCAGTAATCTTATCCATCTCCCATACCAGGTGGAGAGTAAAGAGTGCCTCTCAGGAAGTGAGGACCTAGGCACCTCAACAGGACAACAAATAACATAGCAATGAAAACTAGCTGGGTTGAAATCCATAGATAAATAAGTCAGGAAATGAATGTAAGTGCTGTTATAGGCCAGTGGTGTGGAGCACCTGATGGCAAAGCCAGAAGTTCGAATCCCCAGTGTGCTTCCTGGGCAGGGGCCGGCTGAGATCACTTGGAGCATGTGTGGATGATGGGCTTACATGCCCTGCCAGCTGTGAAGCCTTGGGCAAGCCACATAGCCCCAGAGCACCACAAGAGGGAGAGATTAGTAAACCAATTCAGAGTACTTCATATCCAGAAAACTCTGTTGAGGGTTGCCAACAGTCAGAATTAACTTGATGGGACATATTTAATTCTAAATAGATGCAGGTTGTGCACATAATATTGTACTCATCACTCGCGTCCTGCTAACTGCTTCTCAAATAAAGTCTGTCAATTGCCTAGCAATATGTCCTGATTTCATAGTTACATTTTTAACCACTGGGCATGTCTGTCTAATTAAACTACAACTGGCAAGTCTGTTTTCTTTTCATATGAGAACATTGGCCAAATGCAATTCATTCTAACCCAGCACAAGTGTGTAATATGATAGGTATTCCAGTTCTTCGATTTATAGGCTCAAACTTAATCCAGTTATTATAAGTAATGAATTTTACACTTCAGCTGTTTGTCTAAATAACCTCAAACCTTCCTGATTAAAACCCTGTGGCATATTGTTTTGTTTGGGTTATATTTATCTGTAGAAACCCACAGTGGTGCCAGCCACGCTGCACCATAAGAGCAGTTGCAGTGTAATTACAGGAGTCACGACAAGACATGACAAAGGCCTATTAAATCCCCAAGGCTCCACTCTTTAAAGTCAATGGGATTTAGTTCCATGTAAATATATTTAGGATGGGGGTGCTTGTCACTGACCAATAAAGCATCAAGGCAACAGTCTTTCTTCATGTATTTCTGATATAGCACTGAGAGCAGGAAAGTTAATGAGAAGTGATTCTTTGAATATAGTCATTACCATTAAGGGAGCAAGTTTCCTACACTGACAGAGCTAAAAACTCTGGGATTGCAGAAGAGTAGAAGTCCATTGGCTTATTTTCTCAGGCCTTTGCACAAAAGATTCCCTTAACCAATAACTGCCAAGTTTTTTCTTGGAAACCGTAAAAGGGATTTCCAAGCTTCTCAAGGCAACATTCCATTATCATCAACTCTTATTAGGCCATTTTTGGGCTAACTTTTTGTCAAACATATATCATAGCAAATATTAAAACACATTGATAAATCATTGCCCTGTAAGCTCTTGTACCCTTTCCACGTATTCCTTCACAAATCCATTCTGCCCTGTTTTAGCATTAGTTTTTGTTTGTTTTTTGAAAGTACAAAAAATTATTTATTTGATCTTTATACCACCCATCTGGCTACCAAGGCCCCTTCGGGCGGTTTACAAATAGAAATTACCTTTATGAACTACTAAAATATTGTTTTAAAAAGTGAACTTTCAAATCCGCCAGGACACTTCATCAGTCTTGTCATTGCATAGCGTGTGGTGCAGGGAGAAACACAGAAGTTGAAATATTTTCTTGGCTAGATGTTGAAAGTATAGGATCTAAAATTAAATTAAGTTCAAAGTTTACATTAAGTGTCAGGTGTGATAGTATCGAATTTCACTCAAGATGAAGCACAGAAAAAAAGTGTTACCTTTCACTGCCTCAATAGACAGCAGCTACATGGTCACTCAGTGTGTTCTCTGTTGTCCTTTCTTGAAGCATATGGCCTGGGTGAGTTATTCCCTCGTGCATATTAAATTGGAGGAAATAAAATGCGGTCTATAGCATGGATACATTCTTAGGCAAATTTGATAGGTTTCCCGGAAGCCCGGAAATGGCTGCCGGCAGCCGTTTTCGCGCCCTGCCCTCGCTTAGCGAAGGCGCGAAAATGGCTGCCAGCACCTGGAATGCTCGCTGAACGGGTAAGTAACGAAGGTATTGGAACGCATTAAACGAAGTTTAATGCGTTCCAATACCTTTCCCCTACCCGTTTAGCGATGATTCCGTATAGCGAGGGTTAATCCGGAACGGATTAACCTCGCTATACGGGGCACCACTGTACCTTGCTTTTCTTCTTAAAAGACCCCAAGGCTTTCAGGTTAGGAAAAAAGACAATATTTAAAACACACAAAGTTAAAGGTTGTTGTGGGTTTTTCGGGCTCTTTGGCCATGTTCTGAAGGTTGTTCTTCCTAACTTTTCACCAGTCTCTGTGGCTGGCATCTTCAGAGGACAGCACTCTGTGCTCTGGTTACACAAATTTAAAGTTGCGATTTCTATGAGACAGTTTAAATACCTGTATCTCAATTTTTGTGGCTCCTTCATCCAGTTTTCTTATCTACTAAAGTACTTCATTCTTAAAGGAATTATTACATCATGTGTTATGAATACAAAGGAGAAAAATGATGTACAACTTCTTACTTTAAGTTAGGAATCCATCCACATTATGGAAAGCTATGTGCATATAATACACAGACACAATACAATGAAAGCAATAATTTTAATTGGAAAACTGACAGACAGAAATATTTTACCTCCCTTAAAATCTGAAGGATCAAAATAAAATCTGAATGCAATTCAGCATTTTAACTTTGAGCAGAAGTTTGACCTCTGAGTTGTCTTTTATGGCAGACAAAATATAGGATTTTTTATAACATAAGACCCATATTGAACATTTAAACACAGTGCAAGTTGGTGTACATGTTTTTTGTTTTTCTTTTTTAAATCAAGGAGATCTCACAATGCAATTTGGTATGGTACATTTACTGCAACATTTCCATATGTTGATCGGATGCCAGCTCACTCTGCAACTGTTTTTAGGGGGCCAGGAGAAGAAAAATTGGGAAAATACCTTGTACTTTTGAGTCTTAAATTAGAGCTGTCATGCATTATGTTTAATTCATTGTTGAAATTAGAGTTGGCCAGGGATTGTCTTCCAGATGTGTAGCTGAGTCCAGAAACAGACATTAGAAATAGTCTGTGACTGGCAGGGGAAATTAAGTGGTGTGTGTCTGAGTGTCATTGCATGAGTTTCTTTTCACTTTGGAATCAAGCAGATTAACCTGTTTTGTTTGGTGACTGTTGAGAATTTAAGCAGGGGGGAATCCTTTGAAGTCTGATTTCAAGAACATAGAAAAACTGCCTCAGTCTTTTTCCCCCAACATTATTTTCCTTTCATGTTTACTTACTTTGTTGTTGTTTAGTTGTTTAGTCCTTTACTCGTGTCTGACTCTTCGTGACTCCATGGACCAGTTACTTCTAAAAGGCTGCTAGTAACCTAATGTCTGTTTCACATAGGAGTCAGCAGAGAGCTCAGAGGAAACTAGCACTCGGAATCTTTGTTTGCAGCTTGTTAAAGTAGTTCTACTGTGCTCTGGCTGTCCAGATTTTCAGGAGGCAAAGTTGGAGCAGAACTATCTTAACAAGCTAGAAACAAGGCTAATTCATAAATTCCTCCTCTCCCCCCCCTCTCTCTGCCAATTCCTTGCTTTTTTCCCCTGGAGCCTAGTTGCTCTAGCACTAGATTAGCAAGAGTGTGGGGAAGAAAAGAAAAGAATCAGAACAGGAAGGGAAGAGGAAAGCAGACCCATGCACCAGTTTTGGGGAGGAGAGGATTCAAATGGCAGCCGGTTTCACTGCTGCCCTGCATCTCTCACTGCTGCTGTAACTGGCTGGAATGGCTTCAGATACAACTGTCACAAACCCATCCACATCAGCTCAAGCAATCACACCATCTGAACTAATACAAATGCATTGTGTTCCCAAAAAGTAGAAGCTTCAGAAGGGAGTGCAACACAACAAATGTGGGAGGGGACGGACTCCAGGCTGATTTGCATTAACTTGTACGTATGTCATGTAGGCAACAGACCATCGCAATTCTGGAACATTTCCAGCATTAGGTATTTGTCAATGAAGTCACACCTTTATTATGTTCAAGCAAAACCAACATTTTTTTTAAAAAATAAAGTTTTCTATATTGCCTTTTGGTTCAGCATTTCCAAGGTGGTTTACAGTACCAAATAAAAATCAGGGAAAGGCAGTGCTCAGAATTATCACAGAAGAGGCAAAATATATTAGAATTTGGGGGCATGTTAAAAACTAGCCAATTTAATAGCATAATCTTTAATATATTAGATTCCTCTTTGACAGATGAATGGATTGTTGTCCTCCATTGGTGAGGATGTGTGTGCATACATTTATATCTATGTTTCACTTACGGTATCTATCTGCCTGCTTATCTTTAAGGTTTTGTTTTAAGGCTTGCATTAATCTCTTTTAATTTAGTTTGAGATTTATTGTAAAACCAGCAGATCAGATATTGGAAAACTAATAAAACAATGGATGTGGCACAGATTCTTGCAATAATCATATCAATTCAGGAAAATGCTTGTGTTTAATCTCTACAGAGTCGTGTTGTTAAGGAAGATGACATTCAACAAATGAATCCTCCCAAATTTGATATGATTGAAGACATGGCCATGTTAACTCACCTCAATGAGGCATCTGTGCTGCATAACCTGAAACGGCGTTATTCGAAATGGATGATCTATGTAAGTAAGAAGCTGGCTTCATAGCTCAGTGAGCAAGGTATCTGTCTGTGGAACCAGAGGTTGTGAGTTCAGTTCCCCACTGTGGATCCCAGGAGAGCCATCCTGTGTGGCCTTGGGCAATCAGCACAGTCCAAGGGTGCCCTCAGAAGAACTGAACTCAGAAACTGCTTTTGAGTACTCTTGGCCTTGAAACCCCTGAAAATTTCACTGTAGGAATAAAAAGACTGTAGAATAAATTTATCTTCCTATGCGTTCTTTCCCATGTATTCTTTTGCTATCCGAAACAGTTGGTGTCAATGAAACGCCTCGCCTTCAAATTATGTTGTATTAAAAGTGTCTTCATTTTTACTAACGAATACATGGGATTAACTGCTTCATGACCCTGATTCGACTTCTGCTTTTACAAATGGGATAAGTTCAACTTATAAATATTTCTGCCAGGCTATTGGATTGGGAATAGTGAGTAAGTAAAAGATCCAGTTTCCAAGCTTGACATATTGATTCAGATTTTAGAAAAATGGTCGTAAGCAAAGGGATTTTGCAAAGCTACATTTTTGATGGGCATTTGGTATGATTACATCTTAAACTTCAGGAGAGCCAGAAAATGTTTCTGAGAAATGATGCCAGATGCATGAGAAATAAGATGGTAGTGGTGAGAATAAAGAGACTGTCATTGTTTGTCCTTCACTAAAAGCAGGCCTGTCACTTAAGACCAGGAAATGGCAGTGTCTTCTGTATCACTCTCAGGGCTTCAGGGTTTGGAGGGGTTTTATCAGTGAGAATCCCACAATAGGCTCCTTTGCTCTGGGCCTCTGTCCTGCTCACAGGTCTAAGTATTATCTGTTTCCTTGTGGTCTCTCTTTTTTGGTAGAGAGGAATGCTAGTGGAATGCACTCCTGTCATTTCTTCTTTGGTGGAAACAGGTAAAGAGACAGTGACTAGAGACTGCAACAGCAACAAGAGTGGCGGTCCCAGGAATTGGTTATGGGCTCCTGCTGGGTTGGGCTTTAGCAGTTGCTCAGCAGTTGCTTATCGCTGATACTAGCCGTGATCACTCATATCATGCCCATGTCTTTTCTTTCCCATCAGACCTATTCGGGCTTGTTCTGTGTCACCATAAACCCATATAAATGGCTTCCAGTCTATACTCCTTCTGTCGTAGCAGCCTACAAGGGCAAACGGAGGTCTGAGGTCCCGCCTCACATCTACTCCATTGCAGATAATGCCTACAATGACATGTTACGCAGTAAGTGCCTTCTCTGTTCTCACGCAGAAATTGTTACAGGAAGGGAAGCTGACAAGGGCCTGAGGCCCCAAGCTGAACAATATATTTGCACCATTAGAATGATAAGGATGAAAAGCATGTAGTTGGACTCAGTCCTGCCTTACAGCCCAGAAAGCTCTGTTTTCTAATTGTCACTGGAAATGCAGGCTTTGTTTGCAAGTCTGATTGCCATCCCGGCTTGCTCTGTGGGAATTATGTTGTTGGAGAAAGATTGTGCTTATTGTAGGGAATTCACATTTCCTTTCATACTTCGTTTGCTGTTTAGTCCTATCCTTTATATCAAGGGGATACATCCTGCTCCTGAGAGCATCCCAGAGAAGCAATTCTCCTTTAAGACAGGTCATAGACCCCGACTCCACCACATCCCAGTGTTTAATGGCAAGAAAGACCTCCAAGTGAAAAGTGGGCTTCTGGCTACTTCCACTTTTGTTTTATGGATCACCCCTCTTACGTTTTGGGAGTTCATGCAGCTCCTCAAGGAAGTTTGGCCTGTGTGTTTTATAGGCACAAGAAGGAAGCAGGAAAAAATTTAACTTTTTCTAACGCTAACTCAAGGATGTTCAGCTGTTCTTTTAATATTGGACCCATAGCACTCATGGCAGCTTCTTATCTCACAAACATATGTCATGTAGAATAGAAAGCAGCCCTTCCCAGAAAAACATGGACAGTTGCTGGGCCCCACAGCACTGTTCTTGTCACTGTTCAGTTATGGATGATGTCAGCATGTCATTGTATTCAGTCTCCGTAAAAGAAATTCCCAAAGCTGCCATTTCAAAATGGATTTCTGCATATCTTTGTGTGCTTAAATTATCATGGAGAGCAACAGTTATTTCTGTGGCTAGAAAAATGCATGAGAGATAACCCTAGTCACACAACCAGCCCAGGCATGTAATCAATTGTTTATGTGCACCAGCTGGCTGTAATAATTTGTGCATAAACATACTAATCAAATATTCTAAAGAAAGGGGATTGTATCCCACGTTGGAATGGCAACAAGTAGCAGGTGGTAAGGTTTTCAGTGTTTCTTTCTGAGAGCTTTTCTATGAGTATGAAATTGAATCATATCAGACAAGTAAGCTGGAGCATTTCTCTTTGATATGTTGTAAATATATTATTTAATTCATGCATGGGTGTCTATATGAAATGCACAGTCACTGTCTTTCTATCTGTATACACACACCGTAGATAGCAAGATAAATGCCTTTTGCATTTAATTATGCTTTCAATGTATACCCTGTGTAGAACATGTGTCTTGTCTTTGGGAACTGGGATCAAGGTTCTGACTTCCATGAACTCATCCAAGCCTCCATCCAAAGAGTAGCTGTGATCAGGGATCCTACCTTTTGCATGTTTCTCAGTCATGCAAAATCCTGTGTTCACATCATTTGTAGATAGACATAGCAGATCAGAGAAGATGAATGCAGGAAAGTTAGCAGGGGGGCACATGCCTAGATGTGAATTTCATCTGTTATTTCTGCCCCCACCTTCCATATTGCAACCTCAATTTGATCTGCACAGATTCCCTGGCAGCCTCCCATCCATGCCTGCTGAACTATAGAAAGCTTTCAGCTTCTACAAAATATTTCTTGCATCTAGACAATTATGTCCCTTCTTCCACATCATCTCTTGTTCACTAAATATCTTCACAGGGCAGCTGTCTTTTGATGTATACACTGTAATTAGTCCATGAGAATGTGCCTGGAAATGTGGGGTGTGGCCATAAAGGTAAACTCAATCTGAGCTGAACCCTAGTTTGCCTTCTCAGCTGGAATCACCAAAATAAAAATCAAGGCTAGGCTATTAGGATGGAAGAACCTTTGCAAACAGGAGACAACTCACAGCTTGGAATGTTACCTTTTCAAAATTACTTGTATTACTTATCATCTGCCTAATAAGTAATGATTACCACTAATCATTACTCTGCATAGTAATGCAGATTACCTGTGCATAGGCAATATGTTGTGTTGCTGCTGCAATACTTGTTATGGTATCATTACTGCTTGCCAAGATTATCCCAATTGCCGTTAACAGAGCTAAGAAATGCTTTAGGTGCTCCAGGAAGTGTGGCTTGTGCAGTTGCTGAACTCTGTACTGTACCTGGAGAAGAAAGAGAGAGGACCTCATGTTGCTCTGAGTGGTGCAAGACCCTTCTTTCCAAGTCAAACAATAGAACAGCATGCATACACGTGCATATGTGTGTATGCTCACGTACCTGCACACACACACACAGCTGTCCATCTTGAAAAAGTTAATGCAAGTTATGACAATAGTATAACAAGTAATGATTAAAAAAAAGAGAACAGATGTTCCAGCACCACTTTACATATTTGAAGGTCAACGGTAACGACAGTGACTAAAAAAAAAGTAATGCCTCTGCAAGTTGTTGCATTACTACTAAAAAGCATCATTGTTGCACCTCATGAATAAGAAACACAATGTGTAATGATGACAGTGATTAGTTTCATTATTGTTTAAGCTCTGAAACAAACTGTAGTCTATATAATGTATCTGACATGAAATATTACTTCTTATCTTCTAGATCGTGAGAACCAGTCTATGCTCATCACGTAAGTGCTCCCTTTATATGTGCCATCAATACATTTGTATTACCGTTTTTTGAGTTAGGCTCTTGAAGCCCTGGTATTTTGTTGTGGTCTTGTACAGCTGATTCTACACAAAGTCAACTGTAGACAGAGGAGATACACCCTGTTTCCCTTTTAGGAAAAGAAAGGCAAGTCGTTGGACATGCTGCAGAATCTTCCAGGGTCAATGGTGCCTGTTTACACCCACCTCTCATCCCGCCCCCCATTTGTTGCTTAAGCTCTCTCTCTCACATACCCAGGCTAGTCTTTCTGGTTCTTACATATCAACTAACAGCTGCTACAGCCTTCCCAAAAGCACCCTGCCAACAAAAAGTGGGACAGAAAATTCCTGCCATTGTGTAGTTGATCATACATTGTGTATTTGGACTTCCTATCTGCACCATTTGTTCTTCAGATTAATTATTACAAGTACAAAAATCTATAGGAAGAAGCCCTATTAGTGAACCTGTTTCCAAGCAAAGATCCTGGACCATCCACGAATCTGACAAGCCTGCACAGTGCATGGTCCTCCAATCAACTAGATCCAGCAGTTATGTGCTGTGCCAGGGGCTTGAAGAGAAGTACCATCTTACTGCAGTCACTAGCAGATAGTAAATAAAACTTCCATGAGTTCCTTGGTAGATGGGAGCTGCCAGACAAGATTACTGGCCCACAGATGGCTTGGTTGGCTGCAGTTTCTGCAGGTCATCTAAGCAAGAGCTTGAAAAGCAACACATTAGAGTGAAATGTGGAGCAGAGGGAGTTAACATCCAAGAAAACTGGGTGGCCATGTGATTAGTGGAAGGCAACGGCTTGAGGCTTTGGAGGATCTGAGTGCAGAAGAACAGGACGCTGATAGGATAAGGGAAAAATGCTAGAAAGGAACAATAGACAGAAATGAATTAAAGCAAGGGACTGTTGAAAGAGGTGGCTGAGGCCCAACTGTGAGGAACAGGAAGGGGGAAGACATGTTGACTGAAGAGACCATGTTGAGGAGGCTATATAAAGCCTAACTTGATACCAGAAATCGTTGTAGCCTTGGCCATGGCCTAATTAGGTAAAGCAGGGTCTGACCGTATGAGATGTTTGGCTCTTGTCCTACAGAAGCTTTGCTCCCCCCTGTGAGCATGTCTCTTTGTGCTGGGATTACAATGGATGAACAGCTAACTATAGGCATGAAATCAATGCCAGGCTAATGCCAGAGGGTATTGTAGACAGGAGAGAGATGATACGAGCTTGAGTGATAAAGAAGCCTAGACCATGAAGCTGCCTTACTGCGCTCAGGCCAGAATTTCTCTGCTTTGAAGATTTGTTTCTATTCTGTGGATGAACTTAGAACTTTCTACACCTTTCTGCTGCAATGAAATTAAGATTGATCCCTAAGAGTGGCTGTGTTTATTGTCTGCTTTAGAAAAGTACAAAAGTCTTTTCTGTAGCTCTAGGTAGGTAGGTAAACACAATGGGTGGGAAACCCATAGCTTCCTAGCTTTTCACATATAAGGTGAAAGAAGGATCCCAGTTACTTTCCTCCAGTATTAATTAATGAAGATGGGAATCAAAGCAGATCCGACAGATAGTTGTCCAATTTTCTTTTGAATGTTTCCAGTGCTGGAGCATTCACCACCTCCCGAGGTAAATGGTTCTACTGTTGTACTGCTCTAACAGTTAAACATTTTTTCCTGATATTTGGCATAAGTCTGGCTTTCTGTATCTTGAGACCATTAATGCATGTTGTGCACTCTGGGATGATTGAGTTCCTGCCCCTCCTCTGTATGACCACCTTTCAAGTATTTGAAAAGTGCTATCATATCTCCCCTCTGTCTTGTTTTCTCAAAGTTAAACATGCCCAGTTTTTTCAGTCTTACCTCATAAGGTTGGTTTCCAGTGTCCTGATCATCCTTTTTGCCATCCTCTGAATTTGTTCCAGTTTGTTGGCATCCTTCTTAAAGTGTGATGAGGCCTAATCAGTGCTCAGTAGAGGGGGGCTGGTACCTCATGGGATGTGGAGATTATACTCCTGTTAAAATAGCATTTGCCTTTTTGCAGCCCTATCATACTGTTGACTCATTTTCAGCTTATGAGCTACAATAATTCCAAGATCCTTCTCACTGATAGTAATACTGAGCCAAGTACTGTAGTTCCCATCTTAGAACTGTGCAATTCCCCCCCGCCCCCGCTGAAGTGGAGAACACTGCACATATCCCTGTTATCAGTGTTAGACTTCCTTCATGCCATATTATAAGCTTCCCTCTTATTGGGAATTTTTCTGTTGCATTATTTCATAGAAATATGGGAAGCTGCCTGATGCCAAATCAGAGTCTGGAGATACAGAATCTAATTAAATGGAACTTACAAGTAGATGCAATACAACAAAACATTGGAGAGCCCATACTATATTAAAGTATACAGTATAAACAAATCACCAGCATGCAAAGCATGATATACTTATGGTGTAGATAACATCATTTGCATTCAGTTTGGCAATGAATGCAAGTAATATTTTGTTTCAGGACAAAAATATTTATCAAGTCAATATCAACTATTTATCAGTGGCTAGATAACCTGGTGGTTTAGGTGTCTGGCTGCAAAGCTGCAAAATATTTGGGGGCATCTGGGTTCCCCACCCAAGATACATTGCCTAGGACTGTGTGGGATGGCCTGTATGATGGCATTTCTCCCACTTATTCCAACTTTAATGTATATGTCTGGGTGATTGGGATACTGGTTGGCTATTTCTGTGTGTCTGTGCAATCTTTGATAGGATGTGTTTCACATTCTTGATCTATGTATTTCTGTTACTCTAAGCGGAGAATCTGGTGCTGGTAAGACTGTAAACACCAAGCGGGTCATTCAGTACTTTGCCATTGTCGCAGCCCTGGGGGACGGTCCGGGCAAGAAAGGAGTAAGCCCCTCATTTGAAAAAAAAATGTTTTTGGCTGATTTTCTTTTGTTCCTCTTTGTTTTGTTTTTGACCTCTTTTGTGTTTGGCAACATGTGTGGACATGAGCTTTTCTTTGCCTTTGAAACAAGCAAGGCTTGAAAAATTTGCTTTTGGGGGAAAAGTTTCATAAAATGAGTGCTGTAACCCAAAGTGGCAGCTGCTTTAAGGATTTATAAAGATATTCATTTGTTTCCTTCACCTCCATAGCTTTTCTTTTCCAAAAATGGGGGGAGAATTCTCAAGGCAATCTTATAACACTTTCTTTTAAGCCTTGCTTTTTGTGGTCTCCTCCACCTTTATCGTCCCTTTTGATTCTTTTCCCATCTTGTATGTTTTATTATTCTCTTTCTTCTTCATCTTGCATTCTTTCTTTTCTTTTCTTTCTTCTTCTTTTTTTGACATATCCTTGCAGTTGCTTATTTTCTTAATTACAGTTTTCCATGCAAGCAGACATTCACTAGTATTGTTTTCCTTCCCTGGTTTTTAACCCTCTTGCTTCTTGGTGCTGTTTGTTTATTTTTTCTTGATCTAATCTGTTTAACATATGTTTTTGGTGTATTTTTACAAAATGTATATTTTTTTAAAAGTCAAAACAATTAATGTTTTGCAATATTTTTATGGGCATAATTGGAATGTCCTCATCTTTGGGTGGCAGTTTCTATGACTTTATATTTCTGGAATTGTAAATCTGTTTTTTTACCCTTTCTAGCAAGCTCCTGCCACTAAAACTGGGGTGAGTAATTTTTTAAAGAGAAGATCTAACTATAAATGTGTTGGCCAGTATCCTCTGGTGTGCACACAACATTCTGTTGCACATGCGATGGTGCTTTTTCAGAGCTTATAAAAGGTGTCCTCTACTTCCTTGCACAAGCATAAGCCCTGTTGAAAACAGTGAGGGCAATTCCAGCTTGCACACATTATGGCCAATGTTTGCTAACAGTGAGGGCAATTCCAGCTTGCACACACCATAGTTATGGCCAATGTTTGCCCAAAGAGCAGGTAATGGAATTGTCATCTATGCAAAATGCGTGTTGCCTTCTTACCTCTAGGCAAATGGCTACGTACAGCAGCCACTGCAGATAAGATTAAGCTGTTTTCTTCAGGTTGACATACAAACCTATACACCTGCTCACTAGGCTTGTAAGAAGTTAAGTCTTGTGTATTACAGAGCTGGCCTGTGTGTAGCCCTTTGGCGATAGGTGGGGAGCCGATACACTCTGACATTTCAGCTGGCTATCACAAGTACAATGGTCCTGTGAAGCAATCTCTGTGGTTTCCTTCTTGAATCCAGAAATATAAATTTATATATTCTATAATATATAGCTTGCAATGTTCAAATAAAGGAAAATGATATGTTGTAAACAAAAATCTGCACAGAATCAACATGCCATTTTGCAGATTTTTGTTTCCCTCTACTTTATTGAACATTCAAGTGTGTATGTATTGCAGAGCTTGGAAGTAACTTGTTACAAGTAACATGGTTATCTGTAATGACTTACCCCACTCTGAGGGGGAACAAAGGCACAACAAAGTTACTTTTGAAAAGTAATGTACCAAGTGGGAAAAAAGTTAGTATGTATACTGTTGTAGCAAGTCACCTTTTGTAGTTACTCTCAAGGACATTTTCAGAGGCACATTGACAGAATCGCAATTCTCCTACACATTCTGATTTTTTCACACAGAGAAATAAGGAGCAGTCAAACAAATTACTTTTAGAACATAACAATCAGTCTTAGCAACCAATTACTGTTCAAACACTGTAACGAGTAACTGGAATAACTTACTTTTTAAAAGTAACTTTCCAAGCTTTTGTAAATTTTAAATAGGCTGTTTAAATATTTGGATGATTTTAATTATTTGCTTATGACTTTCACTTTCTTTCAATGCTTTTAAAAACATTTCCAATGCTTTCAAAAGCATGTCTTTCCACATTTTTGGTTTTGCAAATGTGAAAATGAAGTGGTGTTATTTCCTTCTGTTTTGATGGGGATAGAGAGCGGGAAAACCACAGCCTTCCAGATGTTGTTGGACTATGGTATGAAATTATAGGAGTCCAACATCATCTGTAGGGAATACAGGTTTCCCAACCCTATCCTACAGAAATACAAATATAAAGTTCAGAATGTTTCTTCACTGTAGTGTTGCATGTACTGTACATTCGAAGCTAAAAATATGGTAGCAAAGACAGAATGAGAACTGTACAAATCCTCTGTCATTGTTGAGTTAATGATCCTAATGAAGGGTTCAAAAGTTGTATACCATGTTTACTCTTATGCCCAATGGTTCATTTCTAAGAATCTCACAGATACAAAAGTAGCTTGATGCTCTTTATGGATCTGTGCACTGTCTCTGTCCTTTTATGTGTTCTCTGGTCACCAGTCAAAACCTTGTCTTGTATTGCAACAAGTCTTTTGGGATTAAGCTAGGTGATGCATTCCGTGTTGTTTTTTGAAAGAGGTGGTCCTTCAGGTGGTAAAAGATATGAGTTTGCCATAGCATGTGATTTTTCTCACATACATACTTTGCATTTAATATACTTTGTTTCATTATTGGTCACTGCATTAAATACTTCTGGGGAAGCCCCATTGAAGGAGGCGAAATGGGTTAACAAAAGAAAATATGCAGTCCACTTAACACCTAGTATAACTCTCAGACCAAAGTCCCAAAATGTGTCTTGTTAAGGTACTCCTGAACTGTTGGCAGACTTGGGGGAAAGTCCCTTACTGCAAAATCTGTGATTGATAAACGTAACATTTACCTCCTTTGCAAACAGAAGACATATCTTTTTGGGTGAGTTGTGATAGAGATTGTGGTGAGGGCAAAGGGTGAAGATCCTCTTCTCCATGCCACAAAACTGATCTGGCACTGACTGTTGTAGAACAAAACCCTAGCTAAACCAAATTTTAACTATCTAAACAATGCACACATATTTACTTTGGCTCCCAGCTTCTTTACTGACACAAATCATTATCCGTACTCATTGGTACATTGACATAAACATTACTTTCACCAGTTGGTTGTGTAAACATAGCCACTCCACAGGTAAGAGTTACAAATGCTTGGAGTAGCCGAGAGTAACCTTGAGAAAAATCATCTCCAGCTTCAGTGACCACTGCATTCTTTAAACTTCCTTAGAAAAGAGGTCAGTTTGGAATATCAGTGGGAGGCATAGCTATATTAGACTTCAGCCCATTTGAGATCCACTCCGTGGAAACTTATACCAAATAAAATATTGTCTTTAAAAATCTTTAAAAATGAAAAACTAGTCATTTTGGTAACTTTCTAGGTTGAGGGGGGCAACATATGGGCTCCCAGATGTTGGACTATAACTCCCATTGGCCCCAACTAGCATAGGTAATGATGGATGGTGGGAGTTGTAGCCCAGAAACATATGGAGGACAACAGTTGCCCAGCCTTTTACCATATGTGTTTTTCCCTTAGCAGAGATATTATGCACATCATGAAGAATAGAGATGGACCATTTTATATTGTAGTACTGTATGTCTTTAAATGTTCTTGATATTACAAACATGTATTTTTATGTAGCAAACTAGCAGAAGGATTAGTAAAGTGCTTCTCCTTAAAATGCTAGTTTAATACATGTACATGTGTGTTTCTGTGTTTAAAATGTGGAAGAGCATCCCAAACCGTGAACCATTCTTTCCTGTGACCTGCAGTGGTATAGTCAATGCTTCTGGTTACCATAGTTTATCATGTTGTTTTGAATAATATGCAGATTGACCCTAATTTCTCTGGCCCTTTGTGAAGTTAGAGCTGTATGAGATTTCTGGTACTGATTGAGGTTTAATAGGGAGAAGGTGCAACAGTGTCCCCTGTACAGTGTTCTCCTTCTTACTGTCAGGAGTCCTTGAGATAGGTCTACAGCAGGACACTGGGGATGAGAAATAGCTTATCCTTTTTACCCTAGGGTACCCTCGAAGATCAAATCATTGAGGCTAACCCAGCTATGGAAGCCTTTGGCAATGCCAAAACCCTGAGAAATGACAACTCCTCACGGTTTGTAAGTATATTTTAAAACAATATTCCAGTGTCTAGCATTTGTTCAATATGTATGTTTATGTGATTATTGGTATTTTAAAGGTAAAAGAATAAAAGGCAAAAGCTCTAAAAAGGTACAGAAAGTTTTTTAAAAATACTTGAGCAAAATATAGAGACAGTCTAAGGCAATTCAAGAGAAAACAACAAAATCAACCCTATCTACCTTAATGCTCACACATTAGTGTACATATAGCATAGTTCTTTGGCATGTATAGAATGCATCCTTTCTGGCAATGTGGACAACAGATGTACAAATCTTCCCCTTTGGAGTGAGACTGAGATCTCTAACCACATTTCGGAATGCTTTTTATACATTAAATAACCCATTTCAGAGCTGTCTTAATCAACATAATCTAGTTTAATGTGTACCAAAACAAAAGCACTTTCTCCCCTCTCCGTTGCACAGCACTGTTCGGCGGCCAAAATGGCCGCCGGAAGCCGGGAAATGGCCTAAAATGGCCACGCGCAGCGTTTTCGCGCCCTCGTTAAGCGAGGCGAGGGCGCGAAAATGGTTGCCGGCCATCCTGAAGCTTCGCTGAATGGTGAGTATTTGGCCTATTTGGAACGCATTAAACGATGTTTAATGTGTTCCAATAGAAATCGCTGCCCCGTTCAGCGATGCTTCAGCATAGCGAAGGTTAATCCGGAACGGATTAACCTCGCTATGCGAGGCACCACTGTATAGCATAGTTCTTAGGCATGTATAGAATGCATCCTTTCTGGCAATGTGGACAACAGATGTACAAATCTTCCCCTTTGGAGTGAGACTGAGATCTCTAACCACATTTCGGAATGCTTTTTATACATTAAATAACCCATTTCAGAGCTGTCTTAATCAACATAATCTAGTTTAATGTTTACCAAAACAAAAGCACTTTCTCCCCTCTCCATTGCACAGCAGTAATCCTTCCTCAGTTTGCATGATCCCAGGGAAGGAAGCAGACTGGCTTTTGGAGTCTCATCTGACAAGAGATACTAGATACTTGGTACTGCTTTGATGTCTTCTTTAATAGGAGATCAATTGAAGGTGTCAGTTCCCTCTTTGTTCTTGGTCAATACTGACCCCTGCCTTCTCAGCCTGCTTTCTCAAACAGTCACAAAGAAACCTCAAAGATTCTAGATGGATTTCTTGTTCCATGTTCCTCTTATCTCCTCAGTTTCTTTACACTCCTTTTAAACAAAGTGAATAGAATGCCTTGCTTCAGGAAGTATGAATCAGTGTGTAGATAAGGCACTGATGCTTTGCTTAAAGGAAACAAACAGCAATTCTGAAGCAAAAATATGGTATTTTTGCTGCTATTCAGCAGAATATTGATAACAAAATTAGCAGAAGCAGGAGTTCCTCAGGGAACTTTGAGAGGCTGCAGTAATGGATGGAAAACTAATGAGGCCTGCAGACAACTTGTCCACCTTAAAAGGTGGAACCTTCCCAGGCTGGAACCTGGGTAGATGCATACATTAATTTCAATTAACATAGAAAAGCAATACTTCCTATCTCTCTTTCAATGCTGCATTTATACGGATTGGAGTGGTCACAGATGGGCCATCTCCCCCATCCAGGTACAAAATGACTTGACCATTGCCAGCTATTAACCATAAAACCATGTCCCCCCCACATGGCAATCAATGCAGTAAAAAGAAAATAATGCAACCAACCCTTAAGAGGATTGAGAGGAAGAAGGACATGGTTTGCCAATTGAAAGTAGAGATTCAATTCCTGGCATCACTGGGAGATATGAGGGTACTCTACTTGAGACTATGAAAAACTGTTGCTCATCAGAGTAAATAGTACTATTGGGCTAGATAGAGGAATGGTTTAATCTGGTATCAGAGCTAGAATGCGGGAGATATGAGGGTACTCTACTTGAGACTGAAAAACTGTTGCTCATCAGAGTAAACAGTACTACTGGGCTAGATAGAGGAATAGTTTAATCTGGTATCAGAGCTAGAATGTCATAGTAAAACTGCCTTTATTCATTTGTTCTTTTTATGAGCCACTTTCCTTTATATTCTGTCTTAGGGCAAGTTCATCCGTATTCATTTTGGCCCATCGGGGAAGCTGGCTTCTGCTGATATTGACATCTGTGAGTAATGATGGCTGTTGGCCTGGATGGTTTTAAACAGAGTTTAGACAAATGTATGGAGGATTAAGCAATCCATGGCCAATATTTATGGCCATACATTATCTTTGTGTTCAGAGGCACATGTACAGATGGAGGGACCTGAGAACATCCAAAATTCTCTTGCAGTGTATTTCTTTTCTCATCATAGTCTTGACAGATTTCAGTCCTTCGCTGTCTCCCTTCCTTGAGACTAATGCTTTTAACACAGACATTTAAAAATCTGTGAATGTCTAGTACTAGGGAGCACTGGGTGGCATCCATTTTACATCATTCTGCAAAGGTGAAACATAGCTACTGTTGTTTCATTAAAACATTCTAAGTTGGTATATATTATAAAAAGTATATATTATAACAAGCAAAATTTAATGGAAAACCAATGGCATACACATAATTATATGCTGTAAAACAAGAAACAAATACAGTAGAATGAGTTAAGTGAAATGAAAATTTCAGAAGCTCAGTCCTATAGATTAATGAGACGTGTACCATATGTATATCTCCAGGGGAAAAATAGCATAGTTAATTTAATATAGTTTCACAATTCTTTCAACAGAGCAGAATCTTTAAAAGGAAAATGAGACCCAGCTACAGAAGTTTCAGTGGTTTGCTAGCCATTGTTCATGAAATAGCAGTTGAAAGTGTTTCTGAGGAGTTTTGCCATGCATACTTTATGAAACATTTGTTTTAAAAGGTTTAGCAGTAATTCTGTGGCAAGACTTGGCCAAGAATAGGCTTTTGGTCCCTTTAGCAACAATTCGTATTATAATATGACAGAATTTTAGTCGATGAAAGTTGCAGCTGTGGTCCATGTTGCTGCCAACAAACATCTATATGGGGTGGGGAGCCAGGGATGCTGGACAAAAATCCAACTGCCAAAATGGACAGAAGGAGGAAGAATGAGTGAGGGGGTTTCAAAACTTTCTTGCACATTCTTAAAAAGTACTATACACTTCAATACCAAAGACTAGAAAACATGAGCAGGAGAGTGCTACAGCACACATATCCTGGTTGCAAGTTTTCCATTGACATCTGGCTGGTCACTGCTTGAAACAGGATGCTGGACCCTGATCCTATGTGATTATTCTTATGTTTGTAGATGGCTGATGTCATAGGAAAAAGGCATGTTACCTTTCATTTGAACCTTTTCAGCTAAGCAAAAGTAGCTAAATATCTTGTTTTTTTGTTTACAGACTTGTTGGAAAAATCAAGAGTGATTTTCCAGCAGCCAGGAGAGAGAAGCTACCATATTTACTACCAAATCCTTTCTGGAAAGAAGCCAGAACTCCAAGGTAAAAGACAGTAAAACAACTTGAAATTGATTGGTGAGCATGAAAAGCACATGGCAGAGATTCTCAAACAGTTGCCTTCCTAAGGGTCAAACGAAATACTGCTTAATGCATAACATCCAGTTGTGAGATCTGTTTTACTCATAGGTAAGCATTCAGGACCCTTATCAGAGAAGGGAGGTTAAAACTTCCATCCCAATCAAATACATTGGGTGGGGAGGTCTAACTTTCAGCTGCTTGCCCAGAGTGGACCCAAAACAGATTTGTTCTTAATGAAAAAGAAGATTGTATTGCTGAACACAATACATTCAAGAAAGCATCTCTTCGAACTCTCAGTCTGATATGTAGGGAATCCCTACTACCATTAATGTTGCCTACAGAATCTGCAACTGTACAGTGTAGCGCTTCAGAAATTTTGACTAACTCAACATTTCTAAGCTGTGCTAATTCTGTGTTTTCAAAAGGCCAATGCTTATCCGTGAAATTACAGTGAACCATATTCCTGATATGTATATATTTTATGTTTATTGCAAGTAGATTTCCACCTTTTTTCCAGGGAACTTGAGTTAGCATATGTGATTCTCTCTGTCCTTATCCAGTTTATCATTGGAATAACCCGGATAGGTAATAAACTGAAAGATTGTGACTGGTGCAAAGGCACCTAGTAAACTTTATGTCTAAGTGGAGATCAACACACCTAGTCTGACATTGTAACCACAACACCACACTGGTCCTTATCGCAAGTTCCAACTTTTCATGTAATATTTAGTCAGTAGACTAGCAGATAAACTGGATGCTCTTGACCATAACACATTGGGTACCATTGGAATAAACAAGGTCTTCACCTGCATCTATAATTACTGTGTATTGGCTATCAAAGCAAGTGCTTCCTACTTGTGTCTTATGTGCCATGAAATCACATCAGACTTATGATGATCTAATAGGGTTTTCAAGATACGTGAGATACAATTTTTGTTGAAGGAACTGGGTGTGGTTGTATGAGATACCTTTGCCGCACTATCCTTACTGTTCTACTCATAGTAGAGTCTTCACCACTATTGAAGAGCAGACTTGCCTTGGCCTCCTTAGAAACCAAGATGCATTTGGGTTTTTTTTTCCCCCTCGGTGTAGACCTTTGCGTGTATCACTGTTAAATTTCATTTTGTTGTTTTCAGCCCAGTGCTTGTGCCTATCAAGATCTAAATTTAAATTTCATTTCTGCCTTCCAGAGTATTAGCAATTCCACCCAATTTTGAGTCATCTGCAAACTTGATAAGCATTCCCTGCACCCCTCATTCAAATCATTAATGAAAATGTTTAAGAGCACTGGGCCCAGGACTGAGCCTTGTGGTACCCCACCCAACTCTGGACTTTATATGGCCCTCTTTAGATTGTAAAGTACACTATTTACTTCAAAACATGGTAAACAAGTCCTGCTCTGTTTGGGGGGTCTTCCTGCTTGTTCAGAGGAGAGGGATGGGATTCTGGTTTTCTGTTCATAGCCCTGCCCTGATGATACTACTGAGTTTTCCTTACCTAATTATCTTGTCCATTTTTCTGCTTTCTCAAGGCAACTGTTCTACTTGTTTCAGTTCCTCAAAATTCCCACTCATATACTTGGAGTGATAATTACTGTTGGAATTTCAGGCTTTAGTTTTCTGCAGATGCAAAATATTTAATTTGGTAAACTGAGAATTCGTTTACTCATAGGAGCTAAGGCCTGACTTCTTAAAAGTAGCTCCCAAATGCTTATTTTAAGAGTTAAAATGGAACATATATAAAATATGAAAGTAACATTGATGTTTTAAATATTACTGTATTTTATATTCATGCAAAAATTCTAAAAAATGTTTAAATCTTGAGTGCCTTTCCTTTACATCTTTGTGCTTGAGTTTTTTTATTAGAATGAAGTCAGAAATTAATTTTGTTGGACATGTATTTTTTTAATCTAAAGTTGTTTATAATTGATCTAACTGAAATAAGGAGATTTTTGATCATCCTGATCTACATTAGAATGTGTGTCCAAATTCAGTTTTTTTTAAAAAAATCTGCACTATACAGTATTACTTTTGCTTGAATACACATTCAAGTCTGCACCACACCTACATTTTGATGGAATTGCGCTTGGCTTGAACTGGATCCCGAATGTACTTTCTCTCTTTCTCCCACTCATACCATCCATCAGTATTTCTTTCCGAAACCTCACATAAATAAAGACACTCTTAATAAGAACAGCCCACAAAGAAAGCCAGAGAGATCTTTTGTGAACATATGCCTCTTGGATCCGGTCAGGAGAAGACCGTGATTGCATTCATCCATACTATGATCTACACTCAAGGCATTTTTGTAGCATGGAACCACATGCTATGAAACAGGAAATAGAAAGGAACACTTTCCTGACCAGATAGAGATGTTTAGCATAGTGTTGTGTGGCAGGAAAAGATCTGGGCTACTGCCTGCTATGCTTGCCATGCTAGGTAGCAAACAATGCCTTATTAGGCAGAGCTTTGCAGAGGGAGCAGTAATCTTATCTGGTGGTCATAAGGCCAAGGCTGACCACTTCTAAATCAGTCAGCAGCCCAAGGGTGTTCCTAAGATAGCTAGCAGACTCTTATGATGCACATGCCTTTTCAATAGCCACATATTAGAGGAAGTGCAGCCTTTCAGGCTCAAACCTTTAAGCTTGCCTGGCAGTCAAGGCGATAGTGGGAATTTTATTAGGAGCTACACCCAGATGTGTTTCTGTCTTCCTCCTTGGATTGTGAAGGTGTCAGCACGCCATCAGAGATTAGTTGACTGTCATATAATCTCTCAGTCTCCATTTCTCCAAGCTAAACACATTCCAGTCCCTCAACTATTTCTCATAGGGCTTGGTTTTTGGACTCTTTACCATCTTGTATCATCCTCCTCTGGACATATTCTAACTAATAAATATAATTGTTTAACCAGTTACATGATTCCTGGTGAGCTTTGATTGCTGCAGGTTGTTGTTATTTTGATTTTTATACAACCGCATAGTGCTAGAACACTCTCTGGGCAATTTACAACATAATTATGCAAGGAACACTTTGCCCCTCAGCAAGCTGACTAGTCATTTTACTGACCTTGGAAGGATGGAAGGCGGAGTCAGATTAGAATGGTATTCTTAGTTCCCTCAATCTGGACACTATTCTTCTGTTCTTGCAGCCTAGAATTCTATAGCATTTTCCCCCAACAGCATCACAGTTATCTTGACCACTAGATTCTTTGCCACACATACATAATATGTTTGTGCCAATGCATCTTTTGATAGCATCAGCTAATATTTTGTCTGACTAAGAACAGTGTAAACCATTTTCCCGATGTGCTTAACCATAACGTCGATCATCCCAGATGTGTATGGAATGGGTGGGGATGATGGGAGTTGTGTCAAACCACATTTACCACATTTGGAGAATGCCTGGTTTGGGGGAGAAAAGAGTCAGTAGTCAGAAGATTTGTATCACTGCTCTGCAGAATGAGTATATGAATGGATAATATTAACCAGTGTGATCCACTGCTGTATCTTTTTCATTTCAATAGCAGCCATCTCCTTTTGGCATTCAGTTAGCAAATGTCCTAGTAGAAAAAGATACTTAAGAGAGCCAAATTTCACTTAATCCCATAGAAGCAGTTGTAGGAGAGGGCACAGGGCTTTAAATCTATCAGTAGCAGAGCTGCAAAAGAGTAAAGTATATCTGGTGATTTTTTTAAAAAAAATCACATTATTAACAGTTTCTAAAGCTGTACCTGCATCATCCTATTGAAAGAAACCCAAGTCTTCTTGTCAACTTAATTATGGTGTACGCTTCTGGGGATTACAGTCTAGTGCATCACATGCTGGTTTTAAAACCAGTTGATTTTAGTTCTGCAGAAAAACTAATGCTTGCAAAAGTTGAAGGCAACAGGAAAAGAGAGAAAACAAATAGCAGACCTGACCTGCCTCATAGAGTCACCGTGAAGTGAAAGCATAGAGGGAACAGGTCAGCTATGTTCCCTTGAAGTCACTGGAGGAAAGGCAGGGTGTAAAATGTGCCTAATAAATAAAATTTGATGTCAAGGGCGGGTGATACTTTTATTCAACCACAGAAATTTTACAGCTGTGAACTAGCTTGGTGCTTAGCCTTGCTGAAGACCATGTGGGTCAAAAAGCTAGCTTATCATTGTAATTTTTAAGTGATCTAATAAAGGTAGTGGGCAACGACTGTGCTTTGGGAATAGAGCAATAGACTAGAACTCAGGAGACCTGGGTTCAGTTCCCCAGCTCTGTCATGGAAACTCTCTGGGAGGTGCAGTTGGTGGAACCACTTCTTTAATTCCTGACTTACCCTGAAAACTCTATAATAATGACGATAATAATTTTAACTGAATTCCCAACTTCTCAGTGTTCTCTGCTAGATACCCATCTCACTGTGCTACCCAGCTAGCTGTTTGCACTTAAACCATTTAAATAATAATAATGTAACATCAAGTCATTTCTGACTGATGGCAACCCTTTTCAGGTTTTTCCAGGTAGGGAATACTCAGAAATGGTTTCCCTTTCTTTTCTTCTGGGGGCATCCTGGGAGTGTGCAACTTGCCCATGGTTACCCAGGCTGGCTCTTCTCCCAGGAGGAACGGTGCAGAATTCAATTACCAATATCTGGCTCTGCAGTGGGATCAACCACTAGGCTATCCAGCCAACTGAAAATCCTATTAGGGTTGCTACTATAAGTCAGTTCTGACTTAACAGCATGTATCAAATAAAGGTAGGAGTCACTCTTGCCTTCAGATCGTATATGAGGACTACACTGGTTTTCTTTCTACACTGGTAAATAAATAAAATAAACACATAATAATTCAGCTGTTACCTCTTGTTTCTCAGATATGCTTCTGCTATCTTCCAACCCCTATGACTATCACTTCTGCTCACAAGGGGTAACAACTGTGGACAACCTGGATGATGGAGAAGAACTCTTGGGCACAGATGTATGTATTCACCTACTTTGAAATCTGGAGGAGTGGGAAGGTTGCTTTTTTATGCATGGACACCTAGCCACATAAATTTAACCACATAAATAATTCTCCCATTCATATCAATTTCTTTTTTGGGGGGTGGTCCATTAAGTACTAAATGTTTTGTAGCTGAAATCAGTAAAAGTGGCTAGACTGTATCTTACATTTTATTTTTGTAATTTTCTCACTACTAATATGTTCATGTGTTACAGATCCAAGGGAATGAATGTAAGGATAAATGGTGATGGGTCTTGTGTCTGTCATGGAGCTTGGAAACTGTTTTCTGGACTACAGCTCTAGAATTTATCAGCAAATGGGATATCTGGCCATGCTGCATGCAGGATTATGGGGATTTTAGTCCAAACATGTAACTTCTACAGTCAGTAGGTTGTACATTAATGACACAAGACTACTGTGTAGGGAAAAAAGGTGGTGAAGTTGTGTGCTTATTACATGGCACACGTTATTTCTTTAGTTGACACTGATAGTGTAGACTGTGCTGTTTTAGTGCTATTTTACTGTATATGTTGTTGTTTTTAAGACTTGTCCTAAATCAAGATTATGACTGCTATCACATGTCATCGAACATTTGTGTAGTACAACTTATTACTATTGTAGACATAGGCATTGAAATACATTTTACACTGGTGGTATTGCTTTACCATTTGACCTATTATTTTGCCACCATCATGGGACAATAGCCTTACTGGATCAGGGCAAGTACTGTATATGCCTAGTTTTTGTTTTCCTTAGTGGACTGATATTATTGCTATGTCTTATAATTACATCTTGTATGATTCCTTCTACAGCATGCTATGGACATCCTGGGTTTCAGCCCTGAGGAGAAATATGGCTGCTATAAAATAGTTGGATCCATAATGCACTTTGGCAACATGAAGTTCAAGCAGAAACAACGTGAGGAGCAGGCAGAAGCGGAAGGCACTGAAAGTAAGGAGAGGTTTACAGTCCTGGTAGATTCCTGTGGGCAGCATTATTAGTATGTTGCAGTAAAACAAAATAAACACAATAAAAGAAACCCACCACAAAACTTTATGGTACTGTGAGGCATGGTGGTGTCATCACCAGGCATTGCTTAAATGTTCAATAAACTTTGCATTTTTGAAATGCCTTATTAGCTCCTAGAAGAATGTATCTGACTTTTCAACAATGCCACAGGTCAATACAATCTATCTATCTATCTATCTATCTATCTATCTATCTATCTATCTATCTATCTATCTATCTATCTATCTATCTATCTATCTATCTATCTATCTATCTATCTATCTATCTATCTATCTATCTATCGTATTTATACCCTGCATATCTGGTCATTTCGACCACTCTAGGCGTCTTACAACATGAAAACATAAGAAGTTTAAGAGAAATTTATAACAATTAATTAATTAAATAATTAATTAATTTATGAGGCCTTTGGAGGGGAATGACCCTGCTATAAAAATGTGGCTGCTGCCTGAACGTTGATTTAAATTGTGGATGGCTCTAGAGTGTGGGGTGTGGCTGTTTAATGGTGGTGACATTTACTTCCCCTGCTATAAAAATGTGGCTGCTGCCTGAACGTTGATTTAAATTGTGGATGGCTCTAGAGTGTGGGGTGTGGCTGTTTAATGGTGCCAACACATAATACATATGGAACTGAGTACTGGAGCGTAATGGAGGAAACATTGTGGAATGGCTGTTCCCATGAGAACATGGTGGCTGCTATATTTTTGTGGTAAGACCATTTTCCTCCATAATGCTTTGTATTTTATGGGCCTTGGTGGAATTATAGGGAGGGGAGTTTACTACTGGTAGCTACCAGTGTTACAAAAATAACCCCCCAAAGGTTATTTTTTTAAAGAAATATTTTTATATAAGTTACAGTCCTCAGGTCACATAACAAAAAAGAAAAAAGTAATAATTACTTTTAAAAACAGTTACACTTCCAATAATTTTCTTATCTATAGGATACTAATAATATTTAAACATTTATATATGTTTTAACCCTGAAGTTATTCAATCTAACCAGCATTTCAGCCCATTTTCCAATTGATCTCCTGCACCAGAGGCCAACAAGTGATACCATACTTCCGTAAATTTATCTTGTTTTATTTCACCTCTATAGAGTTTAATGTGGTATGCCAATTTTTCCATCAGAGCCAATCTCCATATTCTACTTTGAAATCTTTGCAAGGACAAGTCCTGAGCGTCCTCCCAGTGTTGGGCAATTTCATTACAGGCTCCTCCTAATATACTCGCAATTAGTTCGTTATTCACAACGTTTTCATTCTCTCTCATAAATAACAAAAAAAAGTAGCAGTTTCATTTCAGATTATTTTTTCTTTTGTTATACTTTCCAACCACTTAATTACCTCAGGCAATGTAACCTTATTCCCCAGTTCCCCCTTGATGGCCCCATCAACTTTATGAGAGCCCCCTCAATTGTGGAGCTAATTCTGGGGCCAGTGGGCACAGTGAGTTCTGGACTATGAATGGTTGTACATTGTAAATCCAGTACATTTGTTTGGATTTTGGTGTCTGACAAATCTTGCTGTTCTTGCTGCCTGCTGAAACCAAAATATCTGCTGTATTGGTATGCATGGCTACCATTGTAATTATATCAGTTCATCTGCCTTTAAATGTTCAATTTTCATTGACATAACACATTAATTAATAAGTAACTAATAAAATAGGAAAATATATGTATAACTACAGATTGTGATATAAATTATTAAATAAATGAGAAATGATAAAATGCTTTTACATATAATTAAGGAATAATAAATATTTTAGTTTTATCATTATATTTTTCACTTTGTTCTTGCAAAGCACCCAAAGGCATTTGTCACCAGGACAGTACATAAATATATCTATTTTATTATTCACTGTTGTGCTACAGGTGCTGATAAAGCTTCGTACCTCATGGGGATCAGCTCAAGTGATTTAATCAAGGGGCTGCTCCACCCTAGGGTGAAAGTTGGAAATGAATATGTGACCAAAGGTCAGACTGTTGATCAGGTAAGCATATAGGATGATATGTATTGGCCTATACTCCCCATCTTCCTCTATCCTCTCTTGCCTGTGAACTTGGGATAACACTTGTGCATGATGGAAAAGATGGGATAAAATTGCAAAATATAAATAAATCTGCTTGGATAAAATTTTATTACTAATATCGTAATCTATGGTTGGAAATGAATATGTGACCAAAGGTCAGACTGTCGATCAGGTAAGCATCTGGGATGATATGTATTGGTCCTATACTCCCCATCTTCCTCTATCCTCTCTTGCCTGTGAACTTGGGATAACACTTGTGCATGATGGAAAAGATGGGATGAAATTGCAAAATATAAATAAATATGCTTGGATAAAATTTTATTACTAATATCTTAATCTATGTACATTTGGTAAATATATTAAGTAATTATTTATTACAAATTATTGCACAGTTTCTTCTACTGTATGAAAAGCAGAGTTGCCTTTGCTTCCCATTCTGTACCATTGCCTCTTCATTGACTTGAGTTAGCTTCTTTGTTCGTTCTTTCCCTGTGTTAGTAAAGCCATTCAATTCCCAGGAAGTTGAGTAGTTTTACTTGTCTATTTTTAAATGGTTATTTGTGATAGCAGTCAAGCTGCTGCCTACTCTACTCAGACGTAAGTCTAACTAAGATTGAAGGGGAGCACCGCCCCCTAGAGTCGAACATGACTGGACAAAAATTGTCAAGGGGAACCTTTACCCTTTACCTTTTATGTACATTTGGTAAATATATTAAGTAATTATTTATTACAAATTATTGCACAGTTTCTTCTACTGTATGAAAAGCAGAGTTGCCTTTGCTTCCCATTCTGTACCATTGCCTCTTCATTGACTTGAGTTAGCTTCTTTGTTCGTTCTTTCCCTGTGTTAGTAAAGCCATTCAATTCCCAGGAAGTTGAGTAGTTTTACCTGTCTATTTTTAAATGGTTATTTGTGATAACAGTCAAGTTGTGCCTACTCTACTCAGATGTAAGTCTAACTAAGATTGAAGGAGCTTATTCCCAAGGAGGTGTTTACAGGAATGTGACATTAGATAGCCAGACATTATTTTATCATGTAAATGAAGCTTACAGTTGAAATAGATTGTCTCATGTACTGATTCTCCTTAAGAAATGATCTCTCTGCTTCCCTTACCTGTACAACTCAGCATGCAGCAGGTAATGTCTACACTGACTTGGGCATTATGCTGGCATAACTACACAAGAGGATTTTGGCCAAAATAATCAGAAAAGAACAAATGTTTATTCTACAAACTGTTCTTATTTTGTCATCTCTAGGTAGTTTATGCAGTGGGAGCTCTAGCCAAAGCCACCTATGATCGGATGTTCAAGTGGTTGGTTTTTCGTATTAACAAAACTTTGGACACTAGACTAGCCAGACAGTTTTTTATAGGAGTTCTGGACATTGCTGGATTTGAGATTTTTGAGGTGAGTTTCAAAACTGCTCTACAGTAACAACTAGGTATGAGAGATTCTTGGACTGTGTAATAAAGAAAACAAGCATAACAAATATTGTTAAAAATGAAATACATGGATTGATATACTGTACTGGCAATTCAGTTTTTGATTTTGTGTGTGTGCATGTTTTTCTTTTTTTAGGGAAGATTAAGTGGAGCTCTCCTGTGTAGATTGATGCAGGGCAAAATTATACAATATAGACAGCCTGTGATTAGAAGGCAGAAATCCATTAGTGTTCCAGAGAGATGATTTAGGTAGGCCTTCATGACTCAGGAAGCATAAAGAAAGACTGTGTTTATGCTGAAGACCAATTCCATAACAAAGGAAACTAATTTGTGAACTCTAGGAAGTATGAAAAGCTCTCAAAACATGAGTCAGATAAGCAGCATACTTTTTTTCATATATATTCTCAGCAACTCCCTACTGAGATTTCCTTACAGGGAATCTGTAATATATTATCTGGACCTCATATGTCTGCAGTAGTTAGGCAGAAATGTAGCTGGTATGTTGAGCTAAAAATCTAGCCTTGGTCAAGCTGTAGAACTGGATTCAATAATGCTTCTATAATGTGATATGGGCTGATGTTCTTAGGGAAAGACACTCAAACAAATAACCAGTCTCCAAACTGTTAAAGGCTTTATAGACTAGCACTAAAACCTTGAACCTGGCCTGGAAGGGAACAGGAAGTGTTATGCATCCAAAGAAGCATACAACTTGAAAGAACACAGCAAGCGTTTATTTCATGTTTGCCAGCATGGGAGAGCACGACTTCTCAGGGTGTGGTCTCTAAAGTTTTTCAAGTAAACACACCTTATATACCCGACACAATTGTTCCTCTCTATCCCTCTGGCCAATCGGACCAAAGGCGGAAAGCTTAGATTTTAGCTATCTCGTCGCAACAGTTCATATTTTCCCTTTATATGCTAGTATATACCTAATCTATTTTTTCCCACCCGCTGCTGGTGGAGTTACTACACCCTTATCTATTGCTCAGTTGTGCTCATGTGTTTTGAAAAACCAAGAAAGCTGCCTAAGCCCTAACCAGAATTGGAGAGATATGATCAAACTTGGTCACACCTGACATCAGTCTGACCTCTGTATTCTCCATCTGCTGCAGTCTGCGGGTCAGCTTCAAGGGTAGCCCCACATAAAGAGTGTTACGGTAGTCAATCCTGGAAATCACCAGCTCATGCACCAACATCGTCAGGGACCAACCATCTGGATAGGGATGCAATTGGGTGATCAGTCTCAGTTGGTTAAACACTGCTCTGGACACAGCTGAGATTTGATGTTCCAAATATAAGGCTGGGTCCAGAAGCAGATAACCTAAATCCCACCAAAAAAAAGAGGACGAATGTTATTTTATTTATTGTATAGTAATTTTCAGACCTCTCCTACAACAAATAAGAAAGGCCCCAACATTTTATGAGTATAGTCAGTGACATAGTCAGGCTTATAATGTAAAAGTCACAGCACAGCACAAAAGAAAAAAAAGGGCTGGGAGGGAAGAGGATTTAGATGCATCAGGTGGCACATTCATCAAATTACAGAGCAGGATTTAAGCACAAAGAAAGGGCTTCTTCCTCCTTTGGTGGTGGCACAAGTGGCAGTATCCTTATAGATTCTTAGGAACATGCTTGATATATCATGAGAATGGGCAGAGCAGATGAATAACTGGGAAAGCTATCATAGACAATAGATGAAACTACTGATGGGGTCCTTTCGATACCTCTGGTAGTGGTGAATGGTGAACTCTCAAACCTTTAGGTCTTTGTTTCATCTTCTCTTTGCAGTATAACAGTTTTGAACAATTATGCATCAACTTTACCAATGAGAAGCTGCAACAGTTTTTCAACCACCACATGTTTGTCCTGGAACAAGAAGAGTACAAGAAAGAAGGGATTGAGTGGGTCTTCATTGACTTTGGCCTGGATCTGCAGGCTTGTATTGATCTGATTGAAAAGGTAATGTATGTATGCATGGATGCATGCATGCATGCACGCACGCACACACGTATTTATTTATTTATTTATTTATTTATTGGAGTTACACCCTGCACCATCTGGCAACCGGGCCACTCTGGGCGGCCAACAACAAGTCAAACAACACAATATCAAAACACGATAAAATAATACAAACATTCAACAGATACAATAACTAGTAGGATAAATTAATACAGATGACTATGAAGATGATAAAAAGGATGATGAAAGGATGGCAAAAAGGATGATAGAAGGGAAGCCGAGATATCAAAAACTTAATGCTCAGGGAAAGCCTGGCAGAAGAGCCAAGTCTTCAATGCTTGTTTAGTATGATGGGAGAATAAATACACTTTTACATATGGATGTTTCCATAAAAGAAATAAGGGAGGAATATATTAATGTAACTATTCCATGTATCCACTTGCTTCAACCTACTCTGCCAGATGACCAATATTGAGTAGTCAGAATGGCTAACCCTTTCCTTCAGAGCAAACAATTTTTTTTCCTACAGTAACCACACTTGCCAGTTTTCATATATTTCTAGCTGAAAGCTAACCCTGTTCCTTCTGAGTTTGTCTGTTCTCCTTTGCTTAAAACAGTTTAACTGATGGTTACTCTGAAGACATGAATATGAAGTGCAATGCCCTTTCAAAGAGAGTGTTCTGGTAATGGATTGGCACTTTACAACAGGAGGGGCAATGTGTAGTACTCTAGATGCTATTGGACTACAGTCCCCTTTGCTACACCAGCAGCGTAGCAAAGTATGATGCAGTCCAACATTTGGAGGGCTGCCCATTCTCGGTGGCTGTCTGAAATATTTAGCTCCTACTGGTGATTACTTGCTCATTTAAATCTCTATAAATTTCTCACTGTTGTCTTCCTGATCATTTCTATTCCCAAAGCTGTAGAATTATTTGTAAAGAGTGTTGTACTAAAGAAATGATGTTCTAAAATTATGTTCTGATGCTCCAGAGTATAGCATATTCTACTGTAAACAGAACAACTTTAAAGGGCTGAATGAGGCATAACAAAAATATTTCAAACTGAAAACGAAGTTTTATCATAATGTCAGTTTCCCATTCGACACCTGTATGACAAAATTGTCAGGTAAAAATAATCCTCTTTGAGTAAATATCAAGCAAAAACAAACCAAAAAACGAAGAAGGCAAAAAACATTGTGGCACCTTAAATACTGTTATATTTCAATGTGAGCTTTCATGGGCAAATCTACTCCTCAGTCTTTTCCACGAAAGCTCACATTAAAATATAGTGGTCAGTCTTTAAGGTGCCACAACGTTTTTGTCTTCTTATTTTTAATTTTGCTTTTGCCTGATATGGTAGCACAGACTAGCACAGCTACCTCTTCTAAAACTACTTTGGATTAAAATCACTCATAAAATGGAGAAGCCAAACATTTATCTCAGGGCAGAGTAGGCTTGCATTCATCTGAATGATATGCAATGCAGGACTGGTCAAAGACTTTGTTTTGCCTGAGATGAAGAACAAGACAGTCTCTCTCCAACACCCCCACCACCACCAAAAATAAACAGAGGTCAAATGCCATACTGGCTAATTCCCCCCCCCCAAAAAAAAAACACTGGCAACAACACCTAAGGACAGCAAACTAGCTTGTGGGGGATGTATGGCCTATAGTTCAATCTTCAAGTGAAGAGAAGGCCAGGGAGACTGAGAGGAATGGCTAGAGGCTTTCTCTGCTTCCTCCCTGCATTGGTTAAACCACTCTGCCTTGTGGTAGGACCCTCATGTCCCATGAATTTTGAGGAGTAGTTTCTAGTTGTGGTGACTTTTCTATTTCATAGAAAGGTTTATGGATCACTCTCTTGTGCTGAAGAATTGCCTTTTGGCACTAATTGGAAGTGCAGTTTAAAAAAAACGGGAGGGCCCCATTTATTTGCTTACATTCATAAAAGACAGAATTAAGACCAACTTGGATTTATTCCTGTCTGTTGACCAGTAAACATCTTTTCCTTGCAGCCCTTGGGAATTCTTTCTATCCTGGAGGAAGAGTGTATGTTTCCCAAAGCCTCTGATATGTCATTCAAGGCCAAGCTGTATGACAACCACATTGGAAAATCACCCAATTTCCAAAAGCCCAGACCAGATAAGAAGCGCAAATATGAAGCCCATTTTGAGTTGGTGCATTACGCAGGAGTGGTATGTTGTGATGTCCCACTTCCCATATTCTAGGCTGTTTGAATGTAGCTTCTGTGTGTTCTGTCATTGGTATTTGTTGTTTTTGCTCTTTGACAGGTGCCATATAACATCATTGGCTGGCTAGACAAGAATAAAGACCCTTTGAATGAGACAGTCGTAGCCATCTTCCAAAAATCACAAAATAAGCTATTGGCTACCTTATATGAGAACTATGTGAGCTCCTCTTCAGGTAAGGTGCATTCCCTGCAGAAGTTATTCACAATGGCACTGAATATGATGTACATTTGTTTGTTTGTCTGTATTACTGATTTTCTCCCTATATAAGAGTTTCAAAGCAATAATTTAGTTCAGTGCTATCAGATGGTGATATACCTTGCATTTTGGACTGCTTGTGGCCCTGTCTAGTTCTAGCTATCTTCCAGTGACTACACAGTGTACAGGAAATCCTGAACCAGCCTGACCGTGCTCTGTGCCCAACCCATTTTTGGTCTAGCAGCAGAGCTACCCTTCTCCCCTCTCCCCCACCCCCCAGAGCTGAGCTGGAGCAATTAGGACCAGACCTTGTATGCATGGAAGGGTCATTTAAAAAGAGATTACAGCCAACGAAGCAGCCCTTTCCAACATGATCCAATATGATCCAATATTGCCATCTGATCACATCCTTACATGCCATCAAGTCAATTTTGATTTATGACAACAGTTTCCAGAGTTTTCTAGGTACTACAGAGTACTCAGAAGTGCCTTATCTACTCCCTTCTTCTGGGGTTGCTCGGGAACTGTGCAGCTTGCCCAAGGGTACCCAAATCACTGAGCTATCCAGCTATAAAAATGGGAATTCCTGACCTGGTATCCTCCCAAGGGGCTGGACTGTGATTCCACCCCATAATGAATATGGCCAGTGTTAGCTGGGTATGATGGCAGTTGTAGTTCCACATACCTGAAGAGCATCGAGTTGTGAAAAGTTGTGCAAGAGCCCTGTAGGATTAAGCCAAAGTGCCATCCAGTTTTCATCCATAACACCGTATTTTCCATAACACTTCAAATACAGTTGATCTTGAAAGACCAGGCCTCTCTTATGCAGAAGATGTGGACCATATATGAATGTCATTATACTAGTTTTCAGGCATTACTTACTTACCTGGTTGTTTCCAATACACAAGGAAAACAGCGCCTAGTGCCTATCTTTACTGTAGTTCTTGTCTCCATTTGGGAAATGTTTATCTTCAGAAAAGTTCTCAAAAGTTTGTAGGCTCTCCATGTGAGCCAGAACTCTAGAAAACTGGGCTTCGTACTTGTGTGGAGAGTCTAGAAGCAGGGAGGAACCTGTTTTTTTCAGACAAGTTGCTGTCAACAAAGAGAAAGCTTCAATAGAGAAGGGGGAGACAGGTAATCTTGTACTCATATGGTAGATAGAACTGGGTAACAACTGAATAGGGCTCATGTTATGAAATTATCTCACTCCCTTATAGGGAAGGGGATTCCTCCCTGCTCTTTTGTGCTTAAGAATGAGATCTGTGAGGATTTACATCCCTAGTCCATACATTTGAATAACACACAGGAATGAAATTACTTCAGGTGTCTCATTTAGACCATTCTCTGGCGTAACTATATGAACAGGGGTTTGCTCACAAATTCAAATGATATACTTTGGCCTCCCAATGCTTGCGGATTAAATTAGAGCCTGAACTAAATGGTAACCATTATGCAAATAAACTGACGTTTCATTTAACAGATGATGCACCCAAGACAGGTAAAGAAAAGCGCAAGAAGGCAGCTTCTTTCCAGACTGTATCCCAGCTACATAAGGTAGGTATTGGATCCCAATAAGGAGAGCCACTGGCTAAACTCTGTTTTTCTGTTTGGATCTATGCATGAAAAGTCTTCCAGACAATAATCGGAACTTGATTTATTTGTAAAACTTGAATCTCGCTAGTGAACACTGAAAGCTCTGGGTCTTAGTTCTTTCCCCTAAATGGTCAAGACTGTTCTTCCTTTTTTGAAAGCAATTTACATCTGTCATGATCCCTGGTTCAGATGCATGAGAATTTCATTTCATTTCATCTTTTTGCAGGCTTTGCCAAAGTATAAGTATAGGAGAAAGCAAAACTGACAAAATTGTCCATCTTTCGCCTCTGTCTTGCCCAATCCTGGTGAACAGCATCATTTCACTTTCAGTTAGGAACCGAATGGAAAGGAGACTAGCAGGGGGAGGAAACTTGGCTCTCTCTGTGTTAGGAAAATGCTTATTTTTTTCCCTTGTGATGTCTGTGCTGCGTGATTCCTGGCTGCTTCTCTGTTACTGAGGGAGAGGCAGTTAAGACTTGCAGTGATGTTTAGATAATTTATTACATGAACATCACTTTAAGTCTGTGCTACTTCTTTCCTCACTCTTGACTGCAGGAAGGACAACCCTTGGGAAGAAGAAAACAAGTATGGATTGTATAGGAATCAGACCCAACTGGCCTTCTGCTTTTCTTGCCATGAGAGAGAGGTGGCTGGGCATAACTCACTTTGCATTGAACCAGTTAAATGCATCCATCTCTTTATGGAGTTTATCTGATTGAGAGCCAGGGCTATAAACCTGGGGTGGGGTGGAAATGATTTGAAAAGACTCAAATAAAAGATGTTACAAACTTTCAGGACCAGCTTAATTTTGTAAAGGGAAGTTTGTTTGTGTGTTGGGAGAAGATCCAGTTTTTAAAGCAGAAGAGTCACATAGGTGAGGGAAACGGAATCCTCTCCATTTCTGTTATTTCACCTGGGCATGGGGAGAGCCTGCTCAATGGTAGAGCATATGCTTGCAAAAAAAGAATCTGAGATTCTGCCCCCAGCAACTGTGATTATAAACTATATCTACCTACATCTATAGGTCTGTAGACAGGACTAGGCTAGTCAACTGGGGTTCTGTCTAAGAAACCTGAATCCTATGAGCATTTGCATAGGATATGTGTAACTTGCCATAGCTAATTGAAGCCATTTGATGTGGTGCTGGGATGGATCTTAGTTATGCAGTTGGTTGTGTCACCCAGTGTGCAACCAAGACAGCTCCTGGTGCCTTATCACTAGCTGCAGTTAGTTATAACAAGTTATGCGGACTTTATACAAACAGCAGTAGCTGGCTGACTTGTGGAAGCTTCAGAAATTCCTGTTTCCTCCCCTTCACCCCTCTGTTCTTGTGTGCTTTTCTCCTTGTTGCTCTAATATTTGGTGTCAGAGCTCAATTCAAGAAAGAGAACTCCAAAAAGCAGGCAGGCAGGCAGACAGATAGGCAGGGAGTGGATTTAGTAGCAGTCTCCAACTAGTCTCCCCTCCTTGGTGCTAAAATTTTATCTTTCCTCACTTTGTAGACAACTAGAGAAGACATGGGAATTAAACAAATATCTGCCATAATCAAGTTCAGCCTCCCCTAGTGGTACTGCATCAAAAAGTCTCTTCCTCCTTAACAGATTAGGGTAACATTATTTACCTTTCCTATCAATTAAACTGGGCCACATAGCTGTTCCCTGAAACCTTCCAAATAGGGGAAAAAAACATACCTGAAACATTTTTATTCCACCTTTCAGTTGAAAGCTTCCCTGACAACTGACAGGTTAAGAATGGTGATGAAGAAGCCATCAAAAAATACAATCGACAAAATAATTAGAAGCAGTATAGCAAGTGAAGGAGCAACTGTGAATGAAAGGGTTTCTACTTAGGCCCTACAAGTCATTAAGCAAGGCGGGAATCACAATCTTAAAAAGACCGTTCCTTGATTAGTCCTGATTTCTGATGGCAAGGACACCCAGAGAAGGATCTCAAATGAAGGGTATAATAACGGGGTAGGTCTGTGGGGAAAATAAAAGATATTCATGTACCCAAACTGTATAGGGCTTTAAAGGGTAAAAACAGGATGAGCTCAGAAATTTACCTCAGCCAGTGAATTTTGTATACATGCCTTACAGGAAAATCTGAACAAACTGATGACCAATCTGCGCGCCACACAGCCCCATTTCGTCCGCTGCATCATCCCCAATGAAACAAAGACTCCAGGTACATACTCACAAAGAATATAATGTTTCTCAAGATATGAGTAGCATTTAGCTCACTGTATGATCTGCTGCAGCAACACCTTTTTCTGGTGATCACAATGTAATGCCTAGAGCAAACTAAACCATCCCTAGAATGTTCCTACCCAAACATTTACGGGATCCTGTCAGAGGATTCTGCTTTTGATGCAGGTAGATTCACTCCATTTTGGTTCACTGCCAGCATGTACAATTGCTGACAATGAACTAAAGCAAGCCTTGCAGATTGCCTGCTGCAGTCAATTTACTATATCATAAAGTGACTTAAGAAGAGGGTCACTTCAAGTTATTGGCAAATTAAATATTTGTTCCACACCTGCATGGTGGGCAGGTTTTTGACTGGAACTTGAAGACAAGTGAAAGGTAAAAAAAGTCCCTAGTTGCCCCCTCCTGTTTCCTCCTGTTTCTGGGAGGAGGTTTTCTATTTTAATATATATGTAAGTCATGTAGCACATCAGCAATGCCCTATTACAGTCTAATTTTTTTTCATTGCCTCTGTGTAGATTCATATTAAGTGTTTAATTTGCCAATATCTTGAAGGGGCCCTCTTCTTAAGCCACTTCATGATATGGCAAATTGATAGTGGAAGGAAATGGATGAAATAGGGTTGTTTGAGATCTTTACACTGGTTTGATAATATGATTCCACCAAATGGCATACTGGACCTCTCCTTGACTTCTAATGATCCTATCTAGACTGATCCAACCCATTTAATTGAGCCCCTGAAGACAAGCCCTTTGACAACTTGGAAGGGCCAGGAAACAATCTATGCAGAAGGCACAATTGAGTTATTAAGCATCTCCTAGCAGTTTCTCTACTGTAAAAAGAAGCAGTTTGGCATAGAGATAGTGAGTGGCATATAGGTACTGGGACTTGCATTCTAATGAGTTGTCATCAGAGTAAAATTGCAAGTGCATCAATTTCTATTCTCCAGTTTTCATATTTATCTTTGAATACAGCCACTTAGTTTTATTCAACAAATAGACTTTCTTGTTTTTCCAGTTTAATGTAGGTGCAAATATTTAGTTTTTAAAAGAGTTCCTAAGAAGATTCTTGTTATTTTAAAAGAATAAGCACTGATGATTGATGAATGGTGTCAGAAAACATCCTCTCATTGCTTCCTGTGCAGGAGCCATTGACTCCTTCTTGGTGCTGCATCAGCTGCGATGTAATGGGGTGCTAGAAGGCATTCGCATCTGTAGGAAAGGCTTTCCAAACAGGATCCTCTATGGTGACTTCAAGCAGCGGTAACTTACTGTTGTTGTTTTTCGCCTATGTTAATTCTTAGGTACAGGATAAACTATTAGATGGAGGGGAATTCTTTCGATTAAAATTCCCAGGATCCTCTGATAATTGAAAATAGGGGTGTACCATTTCTTTCTTTGTTTGTTTTATTCTAAATTCCAGAATTCTTCAAGAATTTCCTAGGCAAAATTCTGGGAGTTCCAGCTCACAAGCACATACTTTCCACCTTCATTTCAACCATCTGGATAAGGCTGAGGCCTCCTTCTAAGCCTTCATTTCCTGCTGCAATGCTTCCTGGGAGGGAACTGCCCCAATGCTTCTGGGCACATGTGGTTCTTCAGGAGGCACCTTCTATAGAGTATAATGAGACTACCACTCCGGGGATGAACTTGTATAAGCAAACAATGTTTGTCACTAATCTTCAGAGTAATAATAAGTCTATCAACTATGGGGCACATGCCATGCCGTCAGGGCACATCAAATATAGCCACAGTTCCCCTGTGGCAGTGTATGCTGAGAAACATGCTAGGGAAGATTGCACTAATAGTTTTTGTCTCAAAATAGCCACAGCAGGTGGACCTTGAATGAGGAAGTACTTTGGATTCTCAGCCTCCCTTCCTGACTGTTCTGTATCTTTGCAGCTACCGTATCCTGAATCCAGCTGCCATTCCTGATGACAAATTTGTAGATAGCAGGAAAGCCACAGAGAAGCTGTTGACTTCCTTGGAGCTCGATCCCACCCAGTATAAATTTGGGCACACTAAGGTACATGTGGAAATAACATTTGTGAATTGGGAGATTTTCCATGCAATAGAAAGCCTTGAGGCTGAGGCTGGGCAGAATAAAAGTGAATAAACTAAGTTTATATGTAGAATTTATGTGCCTCGGGTTCTTCTCTCCATTGTTAGGTTAGCCCATTTCCCTTTGCTCAGTGCCTACTCTATTGGACATCTGATTTCCAAGTTATTTTCATTGTTCTTCATTGTTTATTTCCCCCCCCTCCTGGGATCATTTAATACCAAATGTCATTCTGTCAACTCCTGCGACGTTGCTGAAACCAGTTGTATTGGCTCTTGCCTTTCCATTGGACTATTTCAGTGACGTGGAGAGAGGGGATTTGCTGGTTGGGTAACAGCCTATCCTCAATATTATTTTACCCAGGGTTCTTGCTCTGGAGAGGATACTCCAGCTTCGCGTACAGCATCAAAACACTAGACGCTGTTCCAAGTCCTCCATACCGAGCATGCTTCCATAGTCTCTCGAGACTGAAGGATGCCTATGAATTGTTGCAACTATCAGTAAAACAGGATTCATTGGGAATCAACTGGCACAGTTTCCTCATTATTCTAGAACAGTTTCACTGAAATCAGTGGGTCTTCTCCAAAGGAAATGCTTGTGTTGTTAAGGATAAGATATCTGTTTTTAAAATTTGGAGCATAACCAATTATAATATATGCAAGAAATCATAATGGGGAAACTAGAATTTTGAATCAGATAATTCAATACCAACATATCTTTTATTCTGGCATCCATGTTATAACTATTCCTTCTTTGCAGGTGTTTTTCAAAGCAGGCTTGCTGGGTCTACTGGAGGAGATGCGAGATGAACGTCTGGCCAAGATTATCACCATGCTGCAGGCTAGAATGCGAGGGCGCTTGATGCGAATTGAATATGCCTGGATCATTGGCAGAAGGTATAGCAACAAACAGACTTTGTCACAGGCTCTTCCCACAGGTCTTACACTGAGAGATTATAAAATTATCATTTCCAGTTACTGGTCAGCTACAGATGGTAAAGGATACCTCATCTCCTATTTTATCCATTAATTTATGCATTTTTGATACCATTATTTTTAAGTTTCAGAAGGAAAAAGGGGCAATAAACGTATGATATTCAGAAACTATTTGTGTGTGAGATGCCATCTAGTTGCTCTCTTTGTGAGTTTCTCTGAGAGTCTTCAGCTTGTTGCTTGTAGTTTGAGCTGGAAGCATGAATTTGCTAGGTGTCCCATGGGAACTGAGCAGACAGTAAGAGTGCCCATCAAATAGCAATCTGCCATACTTCTCTCTTTCTTTGCAGGGATGCTCTCTACACAATCCAGTGGAATATCCGTGCTTTTAATGCTGTGAAGAATTGGTCCTGGATGAAGCTGTTCTTCAAGATCAAGCCTCTCCTCAAATCAGCCCAGACAGAGAAAGAAATGGCCACCCTGAAAGAGGAGTTCCAGAAACTGAAGGAAGCCCTAGAGAAATCAGAGGCTAAACGGAAAGAACTGGAAGAGAAGCAAGTCAGCATCATCCAGGAGAAGAATGATCTGTCGCTACAGCTTCAAGCAGTGAGTTATCCGTAGGTTTAATTGTTCCAAATGAGGTACAGGCTCTAATGTATGTGGCTTAGGAAAGCCAAGGATAGGCCTGTTTCCAGTTGATAGTCCAACTAAAACAGAGCCACATAGCATAGTCCAAATCAATAGGATTTACATAGGTTTCTTCATTTTCTTAACACCTACCAATAGAAGTTAGTGTGCTCTAAGTTTTTGGTGCCCCAGGGCAAAGCTCCAATTGCTCCACCCTAGTTATAGCCTTTCATTTTATATATTTCAACCTCAAGAGTAGCTGCAACATCAGCCATAGTACTAATGCATAGCTGTTGGGTGTTCTTCACAGGAGCAGGACAACTTGGCTGATGCAGAGGATCGCTGTGACCTCTTGATCAAGACAAAGATCCAGCTAGAAGCAAAGGTGAAGGAACTGACAGAACGTCTGGAGGATGAGGAGGAGATGAACTCAGACCTGACTTCTAAGAAGCGGAAGCTGGAGGATGAATGTGCTGAGCTCAAGAAAGACATTGACGATTTGGAGATCACCCTAGCCAAGGTGGAGAAGGAAAAGCATGCCACAGAAAACAAAGTGAGTAGAATTTTGTTAAATGAGAATAGATATAGCTATGTCAGAGATGATAAAGAGATTAACTGTTTCAGTTGTGTCACTTTGAACATCAAATAGCTATTGGTACCTACGTATGTGTGGCAGAGGGCAGTGCCAGTCAAAATTCTTTGCCACATTTACTTATAAGGATCACAGGAAAATGAGCTTACCAGCAAGTATTATTATATGAAGCACAGGGCAAATGGAGCTCATAGCAAGATCTAGAAAAATCAAAGAACTACTTCAAAATGAAAAAAATAATAATTTTCCTTATTCCTTTTTAGCAGAAAAAAATTAAGATATGTAGGGTTGGAGGAGGTATAATCTCCTGCTATCTTTCTTTTTTAGTCATTGGGAATTAAAAATATTATCATCTTTTCTACTGTATGATTGATATTATTGCAAGATTTCCTGAAAACCAGGTGCTCACTTCATGTTGACTTGCACCTGATCATATGTCCACCTAAGCTCTCTTGTCATATCATCTTAGGTGAAAAATCTGATTGAAGAAATGGCTGCTTTGGACGAGGTCATTGCAAAACTGACCAAGGAAAAGAAAGCGTTGCAAGAGGCCCATCAGCAAGCTCTAGATGACCTTCAGGCAGAAGAGGACAAAGTCAACACTCTGACCAAAGCGAAAGTCAAGCTAGAGCAGCAAGTGGATGATGTGAGCCAATGACCATAGAAATCTGGATTGCTACCCTGGTCTATGTTATAGTAATCTTGGTTGAAACTCATTGGAGAGCAGATGAGATACAAGAGTACAGCTAGAAATTTTGTCTTAGTAAATCATTAGTGTGAGAGGATTCAACAATAGCTAGTTGTTCAGTTCTTTGAACCTTATGTATGTTCCTGCCCCATAACAATGCACATGGGGCAGGTGTTTCTGTAAAGTTTCCACGTGGATGTGGATCAGGCAGAGTTTCTGTGTAAGAAGGTGTCACTTTGGGAACTTTATCCAGTAAGAAGGGAAAGAAGGCGAGTGAGGATGGAAGATGTTATTTGGTTTTTTTCTATTTCTCTGTGCTCTTCAGCTTGAAAGTGCCTTAGAGCAAGAGAAGAAGATACGAATGGATCTGGAGAGAGCAAAGCGCAAACTAGAAGGAGACTTGAAGCTGACACAGGAATCTGTGATGGACTTAGAAAATGACAAGCAGCAGCTGGAGGAGAAGCTCAAAAAGTGAGAACCGAAGTTTGTGTGAATAGGTCCATGTTATAAATTCAAACCAAGTTAAGCAGATTCTGCCACTTCTTAACATATCACTAATAGTGAAGTGATATGTAGCTCATTGTTGGATCTTTCATATTTTCAAAATCCCCGTGTAGAAGCAGTTCTTCCTTAGCACCGTTGATATGAAAATGATAAGGAATCCCATCTGGATTGTTCTCAACACAAGCTGTTCACATTTTCTTTCATAGGAAAGACTTTGAAATTAACCAGCTGAATTCAAGAATTGAAGATGAGCAGATCCTTGCAACTCAATTGCAGAAGAAAATCAAAGAACTCCAGGTAAAGCTATTAAATCTGTTCAGAGACTACAAATGGACCATGGTCTGGAATTCTGGCTCAGTGCCATTGGGGAGGGACTAGTGCCAGATGATTCTACAGTGTATTCAAGACCAGGGCTTGGGGAAACGTTGCTACTTCATTACCTGCACTTTTCATTGTGTGCTTTATGAGCTTGACTGTAGATGCAGGTTGGAATAATCTATACCCTTTTTGTTTGGAGGTATGAAACAAAAGGTGCATGCTTTGTAAACACCTTCAGCAGATTTGAAGGATATTCCTTTGAGGATTTTTTTGGGGGGGGGGATTCAAGCAAAGGAGTACATAGTGTTTCCCATGTGGTTGTCTTAGACAAGAATAAATATTATACTGTATACCCACTGGATTCAGTGGTTTCCTCTAGAGTAGTGGTTGCCAACCTTAGGTTTCCAAATGTTCTTGGACTTAAACTCCCAGAAGCTTTCTAATGTGTGTGTGTGTGTGTGTGTGTGTGTGTTATTCATATACTACCATTCTCCCCATTGCGAGCCCAAAGTGGCTCACAAACAAAACTACACAATAATCACAGTTTAAAACACCATGAGAAACTATAGTAAAACAATCAAACATCTATCAGTATTAAAGCTATTGTTAAAAATATTTTAAAACATTTCTAAAAAGCATTTACATTTTTGACATGATGTGGGTCATAGTGGGACAAAATCTGAGTCTCCTGTTGCTGAATATAAAAGTGGGCTGTTGGCTCTTGGCCTTTGAATAATTAATAGGCAAATTGGCAGGATGAAACCACCCTTGTGAAGCATTTTCCTCATGTTCAAGGCCAAAAAAGACAATACAGTTATCAAGTCATTAGCAGAGGAGCTCAGTTAAAAGAAAAAGGCAATCTTTTTTTCAATACAAGATTGCCGTGTTCTACATTGAAAATCAGACAGCCTTTGATTTGCCAGTGACATATTGCCAAGTTTGACTAAATGCTATGTAATCATGCAGTGAGTGAGAAAAAGACAGTAACTGAAAGAGTGCTGGAAATATGATGAATAGCAGCGGTTCAACAGAATATTAACTAGCAGCAAAAAAAATTATGCACACTTGAAGCATGGGATGAGAAGAAGGGTTGGAGAACATGGCTGGGGGCACCAAAGCATTCCTTTTGTTCTTAAAAACCAAAAGAAAATGGGCACCCTTTGGCAAATTCACAGTGGTTTATTGGAATGCAGATGTTCCTGGCTAGGTGATCCTGAGATGATCAGCATTGCTAGAAGCCCAGGAAGAAGGGACTTCAGGGCAAACTCATTTGGTACTTCCTTACCCTCATTTGTCTCTCTGCAGGCTCGTATTGAGGAGCTAGAAGAGGAACTTGAGGCAGAGCGAGCTGCAAGGGCCAAAGTGGAGAAGCAGCGGGCAGAGGTGGCTCATGAGCTGGAGGAACTGAGTGAACGCCTGGAGGAAGCAGGCGGTGCCACAGCTTGTCAGATAGAACTGAACAAGAAACGGGAAGCAGAGTTCTTGAAGCTGCGCCGGGATCTGGAAGAGGCCACGCTGCAGCACGAGTCCACCACTGCGGCCCTGCGCAAGAAGCATGCCGACTCAGTGGCTGAACTGGGAGAGCAGATCGACAACTTGCAGCGTGTCAAGCAGAAGCTAGAGAAAGAGAAGAGTGAGCTTAAGATGGAGGTGGACGATCTGTCATCCAATATTGATTATCTCACCAAGAACAAGGTGAATGGTTGAGTTATGCCTTGTGATAACTTTTCTTTGCATTACTGAGTTGAAAGGGAGGGGACAGCATAGCGGTGGATCTTTCAGTGTAGGGTGGAATAATTCGTGCACAAGGGTGAAGGAGCTCATTTCATTTTTTCTCCAGAGCTCATGCATTTCCCTCTTTGGACTAGCACAATTAGCATGAAGGTTGCTGCAGTCCTCCTTGTTGGAAACACAAAATGCAACATAATTCTATGGTTTTGTAAATTATGACAAAAACAAAGAGTCTAATGCGGGACACAAAAGACATTATCTTCAGTATTTTAAAATTTCATTTTCTTTCACACTAGCTTCTAGCCCTTATAATAACTATGTGCAATCAAGTCACTTCTGACCTATGGCAACTACAGTATACTGTAAATTTGTCCAGTAAGTCAGAAGAACATTAGATGGCTTTCTGTAGGGGACCCCACATCCTGTTCCAGCAGTTTTAGTTCTCTCCATACTTATTCTCTGTTGGTTTGCTCAGCTGATATAGACCAGCATTTCTGTGCACTGGCAGAGCGGATTTCCTAACTGGGTGTGTTGGGAAGGACGTAGCTGCCATTTCTGAGGATGTTTCATATGTTTTCAATTATGAATTGCTGTGCTAATGCCAACCTAGGGAATCTGTTATCTGGATATACCTCCTAGTTCTTAATCCAACTCTGATCTTTACCTACAGATGATTATTGTATTGAAAGTTAAGATAGCTAGACAAAACTTCTATTTCTTCTGCAGGCAAATGCTGAAAAACTTTGCCGAACATATGAGGATCAGTTGAGCGAAGCCAAATCAAAAGTAGATGAGCTCCAGCGTCAACTGGCTGAAGTGAGCACACAGCGTGGGAGACTACAGACTGAAAACGGTGTGTCCTAAGAGCTGCTGAAAGAGGAGCAGTCTGTTCAGTGCATTAGCTTTCCCTTTGATTGGTTGCATATTAAATGCTTTTAGCTAAACACCCTTGAAGACTGATGATAACATGTGGTATTTTTATAGTCTTATCAGTTGTCATAGCTTTCCCTTTGATTGGTTGCATATTAAGTGCTTTTAGCTAAACACCCTTGATGATAACTTGTGGTATCTTTATAGTCTGATCAGTTGTATGTGAAGAGCAAAGTACCTACAGAATATCTGGATTGATAGCCAGATGCAACAGAGGTCAAAGTTCCAGCACCTTGAAGAGTTATGTAGAAGAGAGAATTTCAGTAGGTTTGGCTTGTCATGCAAGTTACTCCTTCTATCCAAATTAGCAAAAATGGCAAGAGCTCTGTTCTCCTCAGCATCTGGCCACCATCAGCTGGACAATTTGCTGTAGCATTTACTTCATTTGACTATGGGAGGTGCAGATTTTGGTTCATAGAATAATTGAGTTGGAAGGGGCCTTTAAGGCCATCCAGTCCAAACCCCTGCTCAATGCAGGAATACAAATCGAAGGATATCTGGCAGGTGGTTGTCCAGTTTTCTCTTGAATGCCTTTGCCATGAGGCATGGGCACCAGCATTCCATCATAAAAGATGAGTCATGCTTTCTTTCGTGTCCCCCAAAGAAAGCATGAAATGAAAAGGAACAGGTTTGGAAGGTGTTGCCATTTATTCTTCCAACACTTGCCAGAAAATCCAGCTGTAGATTTTGGTCCCCTATAAATTTTGGTGCCCAGGGACAAAGCCACAGTTGCTTAACACTAGTTATAGCCCTGCTTCATGGTATTGCTGCAGTGATAAATGAGCAAGACAAGAATTATTAAATACTTTGACATGAAAGAACAACAGACACAATTAGTGAGTGGCCTGACTGGACACCCATGAAACTCGTGCTAATGGTAGAGTAAAGGTCTTCAAAACTGCAGTTTGAAGTTTGACTTCATTGCCTGGCACCCTTGTACCAAAAATCACTTTGACTCAGTTTCAATGAATGTGCTTGTTTCTTTTGATTCTCCTGGTTACAGGAGAAATGCCATGACATATATTGTATGGGATATAAAGTAATATTCAGTTGAATCTGTGTTTGAACCAGAACAATTGCTTTCTGAGCAGAGATACAATGAGCAACTAAGCTTATTATTGCCAGGTGTTTAGTTTAGTTTATATCCACACAACTGTGATGAAAAGGTAAATTCAAGTGAAAAATGGTTGGCAGAGAAAGAGAGAGAAGAGGGGAGGGAAAGGATGCAGGGATAAGTGAACAGGCGTGTTGCTTATTCTCTTAGTTTACAAACATCATAAACAAAGTGGCTTAAACTTCTGCTAGACATTGAGTTCAGCACAGACTGGCCCTATAAGCTTGTTAAATACCTGATATCTGTAATCTACTATGCACAGCTGCTTCATGTATTGTGAATGAGGGTAGGCTTTCAGTCTGTTGATGGATCATTGGACTGTGTTGCAGTGAGCAGTTCTTAAGTAGAGTGCGGCTGGTCAGAGCTGCAGATTATCAGAGCCCTTCACAGCCTTTGTAAAGATAGGTGACAGCAACGGCACTGTGTCCAATTGACACAAGGCCCATAATGTGCTGGTATCATCTGGAGATGTAGGAAAGTTCAGGATCAGCCTTGAAAGTGTCCATGTGAGGCAAATATGAATGCCTGAAGCAATGAAAAATAAGGAGTTCTCCAGTGATCACAGTTCTCATTTGGCTTGGTTTTGTTTTTCTTTTATAAAACAGGAGAACTTAGCCGACTGCTCGAGGAAAAGGAGTCACTAATAAATCAACTAAGTCGTGGCAAGACCTCCTTTACCCAGACTATTGAGGAACTCAAGAGACAGCTAGAAGAAGAGACCAAGGTGCCCTTTTTATACAACTGGAGTCAAAGAGCTGCCGATAGATGAAACAGGGACCTAATTTGTGCTGGAGCTCACATGGACTCAGCTGGACACTAGTTTTTTAGTGTTTGTTCAATATTCTGGAATATATGAAGGAACAGAAAAGAGGAGTATCTCTAAGAATGTGTAGAGTGCTTTAACTCCATGAGTGAATAATTACAATTTTTAGGATTTACCCAGGCAGCTGCCTTGTACTGAGTCAGGCCATGGAGTCATCTAGCCTAGTATTGTCACCTCTGACTAGCTTTGGCTCTCCAGGGTTTCAGGCAGGATTCTTCCCCAGCCCTGTATGCCAATCCCTGGTGTTCTTTGGTGACCTCCCATCCAACTAGTAACCAGGCTTGATCCTGCTTAGTTTCCAAAGTCAAATATTAGGTGTGTTTAGGGCAGAAAGTAAAGGACACTGTCTGCTGAAAGATTTGACTCTTGGCCCTGTGAATTGGGCTAAGGCAGTGCACAGAGTTAAATATGCATCATGCTGTTAAAACTAGGTTTCTTTTTTAAGAACACAAGGAACGATGTGCAACTCTGATTTGCCTCATCACACATTTTCCAGTTTATTTAAATATCACCTCTCCTTGCTTGCATCTCCAGGGAAGCTTTAGTCAGATAGTAAATGCCACTGAAACATCAACAACAGTAGTCTTTCAGGCTGTATCTAAGTGTATTGGATCCCAGCTCTTATCTGTCAATGGCAGTGGGGTAGGGAATAAGTATTTTTTTTCTTGATAAATGGATGCAAGGGGTTGGCTTAATTACTGTATGTGGTTTCACCTTCCTAGTCGAAAAATGCCTTGGCTCATGCTTTGCAAGCATCCCGCCATGACTGTGACCTTCTACGGGAACAATATGAAGAGGAGGTGGAGGCCAAAGGGGAGCTCCAGAGGTCTCTGTCAAAAGCTAATGCTGAAGTGGCCCAGTGGAGGACCAAATATGAGACAGATGCCATCCAGAGAACAGAGGAGTTAGAAGAAGCCAAGTAAGTTAGAGCAATGGTCAGCCAGATGAAACATTTCTTGATGGCACCAGGATTCCATGCCAGAATGAAGTCATTACAGGGGGGTCCAAAGGCATCTCCATAATGCTATGCAAACAGGAAGGGACAAACTTCATACTACGGACATACTTTTCAAATTGGTATTATGGGAAGAGAGATGTATATCATATGCTCTGGCTGTTCCTTCTAGTTTTCCTTGAAACTGGTTAACTTCCACTTCCCTTTGAAATTGAAGGCCAGAATCCCATCAGGATTGTGGAGCATAGAAAGAAATTGTGCAAGCATTGTGTGCTATTTTATGGGTTGTCCTACAGTCATGCTCTGGTAATGGAGCAGAGAGCTTACAGAATACAAAAAGTAATGAGTCATTTTGTTATGTACACAATAAAACAGGATTCTAGCTGAACAGTGCTGTGATAGTTTTTGATATACAACCCATGTCCCTCCAGTGCTGTGGGACTTCAATCAATGCTAGCCAGCTTAGTCAACAGAGAAGAATACCAGAAATTGACCTCCTAACATTTGGAGGGCCACATGTAACCCAACCTATCTGCAACAGGCAGATGGGATTCATAGACTAGAACTCTTTTGTGCAGTTATGCAAATATCATAACTTTTAAAAGTAAATTGCCATGAGTTAAGAAATCCCTGTAGGCATTATCTGTTGCATACCAAATGGAGTGATTCAGTGTGCAACAATAAATGTCTACAGAGAATTCTTATGGTAATTTGCTTCTAAAAGTTGCACCTTTTGCATTAACTGTGCAATAGGACTTCAGCCATAGAACATGTGCAGCTTCATGGCCCATGTGTGCATAGCAACACTTTCTTCTTAGTTAACCAAAATCATTTGCAGGAAGAAACTGGCGATTCGGCTGCAGGAGGCAGAGGAGGCTGTGGAAGCAGCGCATGCCAAGTGTTCCTCTCTGGAAAAGACCAAACACCGCCTGCAAACCGAAATTGAAGATTTGTCCATTGACTTGGAGAGGGCCAATTCAGCTGCAGCTGCTTTGGACAAGAAACAGCGCAATTTTGACAGGATCATTTCAGAGTGGAAGCAGAAGTATGAGGAGACACAGGCGGAGCTGGAGTCCTCTCAGAAGGAATCTCGAAGCCTGAGCACAGAGCTATTCAAACTCAAGAATGCATATGAGGAGTCATTGGATAATCTAGAGACTCTTAAACGCGAGAACAAAAACTTACAAGGTATCATTGGGACTGTGCAGAATATGGAAGAGTCTCTGTGCTGGGCATTGTAGGTCAAATATTAATTTTTAAAACTCTGTGATTGCGTTGTGTTCTAGTGACTGCACTATGCAACTGTAGGAGTTGCTAATGAGCACAATTTTTCTTCTTTTTCTTTTTCTTTTAAACTACATTTCTCAGTAGGAGGGAACAGTAAACCTCTTCTGAGTACTCTAGACTTAGAAAACCCTGGAGACGGTTCCCATAATTTGGAATCAACCTTATGGCATGTAATTATTATTAGCAAGGTTGAAAGAGATGCTTGAAAATGTGTGAGCAATTAGGAAATAGAGTGAGGGGGGGAAACTAATCAGGATTCCACTTGGGTTGGCTGGGGAAGTGCTCTATTGCACTTTGATCTCCTCATCATTAACTGAAACACAGGGTCTATTTGAAAAATAAGTGAATGCCCTTCACATGAGTAGAAAAAAACCCTACATTTCTGGTGCTGTTTCTTCTCAGAGGAAATCACAGATTTGACCGATCAGATTAGCATGAGTGGCAAAACCATCCATGAGCTGGAGAAGCTGAAGAAAGGCCTGGAGAGTGAGAAGAGTGACATTCAGGCTGCTCTGGAGGAAGCTGAGGTGAGTACCTTCCCAGCTAGTATGGAGAGGGAAGAGAGTTACAAGATTTAGTCAATGTGGAAGAATCTGGGGTGACATGAATGGGATTCAAAGTTCATTGCAGTTGAAGTGGAGTTTACAGAGAAGTAGAGCAGCCTAATTTAAGGAAGAGCAGCCTAATTTAAGGAAGCAGAAAAATGTCATTTTGCTGCCTGAAACAAAGCAGCAAATAGTGTTCCTCACCAAGTCAAGAGGTAGAGAACACAAACCAGAAAAACGTGCTGAGGGGATTGATTGACTGACTGATTGATTGATTGATTGATTCTATCCATCCATCCATCCATCCATCCATCCATCCATCCATCCATCCATCCATCCATCCATCCATCCATCCATCTATCTATCTATCTATCTATCTATCTATCTATCTATCTATCTATCTATCTATCTATCTATCTATCCATCCATCCATCCATCCATCCATCCATCCATCCATCTCTCCCTCCCTCGCTCCCTCGCTCCCTCCCTCCCTCCCTCCATCCCTCCCTCCCTCCATCCTTTCTCCTTCGAAAGAACCCAAGGTGGCTCACATCATTAAAAAAACAATATTTAAAAGTTAAAAACAGTAGTTATACAGTATTTTAAAAGAATGAAATAAGTATTATATTACAAATGTTAATAAATTCAATATTAAAACAAATTCAAAACAAAAGAGCACAACAATCCATTTAAACAATCCCTCTTAGACCACCAGTTATTAAGGGAAAGCCTGTCTGAAGAGAAAGGCCTTTGCCTTAGATGCCCTAGCTTCCCATGGGAGGGGCTTCCAGAGCCTGGGAGCAGCAACAAAGAAGGGATTCTTGCCAAGAAGTCATTATAATTCTTTCTTCTTCCAGGGAGCCCTGGAACATGAAGAGAGTAAGACCTTACGTATCCAGCTGGAGTTGTCCCAGATCAAAGCTGACGTTGATAGGAAACTGGCTGAGAAGGATGAAGAGTTTGAGAACTTAAGGTAAGAATATAAAACCAATTGTGTAAAATAACTCTGGGTTGGGCAAAGGGTGTAGCCTTGACTTTTCTGAGGCCTTCATAAGTGAATATGCCCTCACAAACCTTGCTGAGAATACAGTGAGGAAACAATACGAGACAGTTACTCACCAGAGATGCATTTATGAATAAAGCACCTTCTGCTCTTAATAGGCGTAATCACCAGAGAGCTATGGACTCCATGCAGGCCTCACTGGATGCAGAAGCCAAAGCTAGAAATGAGGCCATTAGGTTACGAAAGAAGATGGAGGGAGATCTGAATGAGATGGAGATACAGCTGAGCCATGCAAATCGCCAAGCTGCTGAGTCTCAGAAGCTGGTGCGGCAGCTCCAGGCCCAAGTGAAGGTGAGCCTCAGCATTTACTCAGAGGCAGAAATTGGGTATGATTTTCTCTTTGGCCACCTCGTATAACAGAGTGGGGAACCTCAGGCCATAGGAGAAATTCAGTTATCTAAATTTCCCACAACCACCATGTTCTTCTTCCCTTGATAACATAATTTATTGGAATTCCAACTTTTGTACAATTTCTTCTTCTAAGTGGTCAAGAAGGCTCTCCCGAGCTTCAGTTACTGTCCACAAATGCTTTAAGTCTGATGGCATATTTGTCACACCTTTTTGCCTTTGGTCCTACCCACCATGAGAAAGGCAGCCTCTGAGATGTTCTCCAAAATTGAATTAGGCTCTTGGGCCAAACCCAACCATCTGTGAAGTCCCCAATGTGCCACTCTGGGTTTGGCTTGATGTATGAGGCTCCTTGAGGGATCTCTGCAACCCGCTAGTTCAAGCAAAAGACTTCTAGCTCTGGTTGGTCTCTCCTGTAAAATGGCCTCCTTTACTTCTCTTGGTGTGGCTGACAGGATTTGCAGATAGAACTAGATGACACTCTGCGCCACAATGATGATCTGAAGGAGCAGGCAGCAGCCCTGGAAAGGCGCAATAACCTGATGATGGCTGAGGTGGAGGAGTTACGTGCTGCCCTGGAACAGGCTGAGCGTGGAAGGAAGCTGGCTGAGCAGGAGTTGTTAGAAGCTACAGAGAGAGTGAATCTGTTGCACTCCCAGGTGAGAAAGAAGATGACTTTGCACAAAGGGTGAGCAGCCTCTGAATCTAATGAAAGGAGTCAACCAAAGATTGAAGTGAGCTGGGAAATTATCCACAATTTCTGATAAATTTGGTTGCTTTTCCTCTGTCTCACGTTGCTCTAGGGAATAGTAAACTTGCCATCCCTGAATGGTTAAGTCCACATTTCTATAACAAAACTGTTTTGGAAGGAAAAAAGGTTTGTAAGAATGGTATATCCCATCCTGACTTTAATTCACATTTTGTGAGGGAGGAGTACTTCTTAATCTTATACAAGGGGAAATTCCTGAAATCTTGTGGCTGCGCACATCCATTCCTGGACTTTTGAGGGCCTTATCTGCTCCCATCCTTCACAAATATATATATTAATGAAGAGAAAATGTGAAAGTTTTAGGTTTTTGTGGGCCACATTACCCATCCCTGCTGTCTGCAAAGTTTGTAAGAGTTATTTATCCCAGAATAACTGATTTGGAATAACAGCTTTTGATATGTGTTGTGCTGCATTCATCAACGCAGTTCGGTTTTTCCAAATTGCAGTACAATTTCTTAATCTATCCACGATCAAGATGAAAGAAAGCCAGAAGAACTGAGTGGTAAATAACAAGCAAGCTGTGTTCCACTGTAGAGAATAGCCAGTTTTGGATTGTTTAACTGAAGTCACTAAATGACTTTATAACCTGCACAAGAGAGCACCACCTACTGGTTTGTGTGTTTATATCACATTTGCACCTGTACTTAGCTTTTTTCTATTCAGCAGAGCACCACACCTGTAATACCCTCACCTGGTAACTACACCAACCTAGAAGTATTGTAGTTCAATATTATGTCACCTCTTTGCATGTAGAAGGGTGCAGTTGGAATCCCTGGTGTATCACATTGCTGGAAAACATCTCCTTGCTGCAGATCCTCCAGTGTTGCTTTAACCAGTCAAAATATCAATCTTTCGTCTGTTCTTAGTTGCATGTATATCCCACCGTTCCTCCAGTGAACTCAAGATAGCATTCTCCTCCCTACTTTATCATCACAAGAGCCCTAATGGGCAAGCCAAGCAGACCAAAGTCACCAAACAAATGTCATCGCTCAGATGGGATTTGAATTTGGATCCAAATCCAACATCTTAACACCCTTGTTCTAGACAGTAATTTAGGAGATATACAAATAGCGTGAGCAGATGAGTTATTTGGTGCTTATTTGTGGAAAGTGCAGCATCCTTGTTCTGAACTTGTAAATGTTAAAGAACAGCAATTCTGCTGGAGACTGGAAGTAAGGTATGGAAGAACATATTGTGTGTTGTTTAAGAAATCTATTGAGGGAGAGTGCATGAGGAAAAGATCTTACACTTTATTACAGCTGATTTCCAAGCTCTGCTGCTTTGTCTAGCTAAGATGGAGGACCAAGACAAAAAATAAATTTCAGAGAAAGGAAGGAAAGCTAGCAATACCAATCTGTATATAAATCTAGACAAGACGGGAGCATACCTGTCTTCATTTCCCTCCTCCCAATAGATTGTATTACTTGCTACACATATTGGGGCTCTGTTCCAACAATGTCACATGTAAGTCAGTTTCATAGGTCTTGGTGAGTTAATTTTCCATGATGCCTTACTTTTCCCAGAACACAGGCCTGATTAACCAGAAGAAGAAGATGGAGGCTGACATTTCCCAGCTGAGTACTGAGGTGGAAGAGGCAGTACAGGAGTGTCGGAATGCAGAAGAGAAGGCCAAGAAAGCCATTACTGATGTAAGAGGCCCAAAGAGCATGGGTGTGTGTGTGTCTGTTATAAGGGCAATCCTTGCTCTTCATTACTGGATCTGAAATTCTACCTTGCCATTAGATATTTGGTGAAAAACTGATATTCGGCATTAGTATTTGGACTCCTATGCTATTCCAGTGTTCTTCCTGGTGGCTGAAAAAAAATATCAATCACAAGGTAGAACAGCTGGTGATGGAGAAGTTGGAGAAGAAGCCTAGCTCTGTGCCAAATGGACCTGGTGGCAGGATAAGCCTAAATGGGCAGGCAGCAGAGAGATGACACACCATTGCCTGCAAGGCATAATAAACCTGCATAACCCTTTGGCCCACTTAGGCAGCCATGATGGCAGAGGAACTGAAGAAGGAGCAGGACACCAGTGCTCACTTGGAACGGATGAAGAAGAACATGGAACAGACCATCAAGGACTTACAGATGCGGTTGGATGAGGCTGAACAGATTGCTCTTAAAGGAGGCAAGAAGCAGATCCAGAAACTAGAGGCCAGGGTATGTACTATAGTACATAAAATACTATTATTTTATCTCCAGTGATTGACAAGACCTTGAAAACACTGACTAGACTGTTCTTCCCAAAAGTACTTCTGCAAACTGGGGGCTGAAGACCAGATAGTCTAAGCATCTCAAGGATCTTTCATTATAATTAGGTTATTTTTATTCTGTACATTTGTAACCCTGGTATCTGGTACCTGGTCATAAGAATTGGGTTTCATTGACACAAAAGTAGCACACTTCTCATCACTAGACCTAAAAATGTTTTTAGTGAGAGACTTTGTCCTACTCAAACTGAGATGACCAAGGACAGTCATAGGTGTAAGTCAGTTCTTTCCAGTTGTACTACATCAGAGGCAGGGAGAACTCTGAATAATGGTGCAATTACTTTACCCAAGTCTGAGAGCAGACAAAGCCTCAATGGTAAAGGTTGTGCAAGGGGTGAGAACAGAGCCCTTTATGAGGTTGTAGCATGTGCTTACAGCTAGAAAAGGTCCCACTGCTTTAGCTCAGCATGACAATCAATCATTGTACTTCCCTCAGCGAAGCAGGAAAATGAGAAGTCTTTAACTACCAGGCTTTTTTAAAAAAAACAGGTACGTGAACTGGAGGGTGAATTGGATGTAGAACAGAAGAAGAATGCTGAGACTCAGAAGGGTATTCGCAAATACGAACGAAGGATCAAGGAACTGACTTACCAGGTACTGGTTCCATTATCTTTACGTGAATTATTTGGTCACATAGCTATTAACTGTAGGGCTGAGCTACAAGCATAAGGGTGAATGTTGCAAGAAAAAGTGCTTCTTGCAAGGTACAATTCAGAGAATTTGCAAAATATGGCTAGAACATTCTTCCAGTGTGATTAGAGTTTGAGCCTATCCACCCCTCCTGTTTGGTCTTTTTAAAGTGTGTGTATGTGTGTGGGGGTGTCAGTTGACCATTGTTTCAGATTAGTTTAACAGACCTACATAAAGTTACTGGACTTAAATCAATCTCTCCTACTTCCTTTCCATGCCAGGGTTATTTTGCATTACTTGGGTTTTTCTTTGCCACCTCTTCCCCCCCTCCCAGATATTTTGCCCACCTGTTTCTTTCTTTTGAACAAGCAAGCGTCCTAGGGGGACGTGTACAATTAGAACCGCCCCCGGCATCTCCTGTGATGTGATGTCAGCTGTAGAAGTACTCTCAACACGGGGCAGGGGAAGTTGGAGGTTTTCTCCTTAGCACAGCTGGGTCACCCCTTCTGCTTCATGAAATGGCAGGATCAATGTGACATGATGTTTTACCAAAAAAGAAGGGGGGGAAGGGGAAAAAAGGTGAATGGCTCTACATTCTCCTTCAAACGCTGTATGCAGATGTGTCTCCATGTTAGGACGATATAGCCCTTTCTTCACAAAATGGAAACTTCCACTATCAAATCAGCCAACATCAAGGGAGGGGAATGGACAAAGAGTGGAGACAGGAAAGGAGGGTATGTGTTAAAGTGTGGACACTTTTTATTTACCTTACATTGAAGGAAAAGTGACTACAGGTATGAAGGTTTGATATAAATCTGGATCAATGAGGGAAAGGGGCCAACATTCTAGTCCAAATTAATCCAAAACAACAGCTTGTTTGGATGGGCTGTTTGTGGTATCACCACATAGCCAGATCTGATGGGCATTGTGGAAGCATCATCACCACTGATTACATGATTCATAGCTGCATGGATTACAGCAAGCACAAACTCACCCCTTTTTGCAAAACAATTGCACCAAAGTTGGTTGTAAAAGATGTGCAAAAGGAGCAAAAATATTCTATTGGTGTTTGTCTTTTAGAGAGTTCCTTCTTTTTACATTAAAAAAGATTGCCCACATAAATTAGCTCCATCCTATTAACCTAAGACTGTTCATCTTAGCTTCACATTAAGCAGCTGCATACCGCATACATAGATTAGGGACAGCATGGACAGGAACAAAAATAAGGAAAATGTACTTTGGATAGATGGTGGCAAAATCTTTGGGTTTCATGGCACCCTGCTGTTCTTCCACTCCACTACATAAATATAAAGGGCTCCTAGAATAAAGAGGAGCAGTTATATGCTGCAGACGGTGAAGGCATTGGAGAAGGAGGTCTAAACTGCAGTGGGATGATGTCTGACCATTGCTTTTCAGACTGAGGAAGACCGGAAGAACCTGGCACGGATGCAAGAGCTGATTGACAAATTGCAGAGCAAAGTCAAGAGCTATAAGCGCCAGTTCGAGGAAGCAGTAAGTGATTCTGCACTGCCATTCCTTCAATTTCAAAATGTCAACAAAACCTTCTCACCTTTCTTAACGTCTCCCTCTGGGTGTGAGCAAATCACTACCACCCTGTTTGCCTCTATGTTTTTTACCAGCGTGCTGCTGCCATCATTTAGCAAGAACCATTTGCGAAAAATGACACTTCAGTACTTCAGACACTCTTAACAAACCACTTCTCCCAGGTGCAGTTGGACCTGCATTTGGGCATTCATTCTCCAGTGCCCCTATACAATTTATCCATGGACATATAATGAGGTTCACTGGTACCCAACAAAGTATCTTTCCATGGGTCCATACAGACCATAACACAAAACAAGCAGCACTAGTAACTCTTCCTCCATCTACATCATAATCTGTCTTCCATACTTAGGAGCTGCAAGCCAACTCCAACCTGGTGAAATACCGCAAAGTGCAACATGAGTTGGATGATGCTGAGGAGCGGGCAGATATTGCAGAGACGCAAGTGAACAAGCTGCGGGCTCGCACTAGAGAGGTTGTCACTCTGAAGGTAAGAGCTGAACTGTCTCAGGAAGACGGTGAGGAATCTGTTATCTGGGGGTTACTTGCCCTCAGGGGATACCTATAAGGGTGGTGGGCCTACCTCTTTTTTTTCCTGGTATAAACATCTTCCAGAAATGTTATCATAGAAAATGGGACTGTGGGAGGCACCTGAATTTAATGGATTTTTTTTTTCTTTTTTATTAACAGCATGAAGAATAAGAAGCTACAGAGCAACATCTCCTCTACTACCATGCCTGTCTTTGTATAGTGATGTAAATGGCTGCAACAGCCATTGCTGTCTGTGTAGTAAATAAAGCATAGTCTTCATGATGCAGACTCCGATTCATTTTTAAGTATTAGAGGAAACTGTAATAAGTTGCCTTTTTATGGCAACTCTTTTGAAACAGAAATTTTAGACCCTGCTTTTCACTGAAAGCCTTTATGTTTTTTTTAAATAATACAATGACTTTTTATGATCTCCAATAAAATCACTTCAAGCATATGACCCAGATAAAAACCAAGTATGAATACAATAGATTAGATAAAAGTGTCAGACAACACAGGATAAATCATTCCAGGAACCTAAAGAGGAATAATGCGAGGACTTATGAAAGAGGAAACAGGCTGAAATCTTGTTGCTTAGTTGTTGTAAGTCACAACTGGAGTAGTTCCACTGAATCAGTAGGGATCTGGTGAGGCAGTTCCCCCATAATTTCCACTGATTCAGTGGGCTTACTTTAGTTACAGCATACTGCATCAAGCAATAAGATTCCAGCCACTGGCTTCCCTGGTTGGTGCAAAAGTTTTGCTCTGCTTGAGAAGGACTTTTGCTGTAAGGCAAACAAAGGACACCTAGTGCTAGAGATGATGGGTGGGAGCAATGCAAATGGCCCAGGTATGGCTGGGTTGGGCTGTACCAGTAGCTTGCTGGGTTCTACAGGAAGCCACTAGCAGTACTGAAGATGGGATAGTACTTAGTTAAATGAAAATACTGCCTCCTCTTCAAACATATTATTCAGGTATTTTAAGATTGCATGTTTTTACATGCATGGCCTTTGCTTTCCACATACAGTATTTAGAATTTCATGCATAGTATACTATCAACCCCTGCAGATCCAAGGTAGCTTACAATATTAACAACAATAAATATAAAAACTGAAAGGGGGCAGACAGCATAGCAAAAAAATACATTTTTCCAGCCATATTTTTTTAAAATAAAGTTCTTTTAATAGTTTCCATTTAATACATTTATGTGCTGTTAGTAAATCAGCATTAATCTGGGCAGCATTAACATTAATTCATCAAGAGTTATTTAAAAATTTTGGGAATGTTTGCTGGCCTGGTGGGATCAACCCTTTTATCTCATATCATCTGTTTCATTGCTTTTAGTTATTACAAATCCAAACCAAAGCCAACACACAACCATTAGTGATCTTTTCATTTTTCCCCCCAGCCACATTTAAGTGTCACTCATTTATATCACTCTGAAGTGGTTTGTATTTCATGCAAGCTGGTCATTGCAGTCTCAGAAGATCCACAGAAAAGTTCAATAAGAGAAGCTATGGCAGCAGAACTCCAACACAGACTTCCTAGAAGAACTAGAAAGCAAGTGGTGCAGTCATTTAACCAAACTCCTTGTAACTGTCTGCACCAATAACCAGATATAAACAAAGAGAATGATGAGTGAAATCAACAAGATGTTCCAGGAAAATAGCTGAATTTTCACTAATGAGATCAGTCTCACTCAAGCCAATGTACAAAGAAATAAGCAGTCTGACCATTCAATGAAACCAGAAATAGTGATAAAAGTAGGCTTTACTATGCAATTTTTGCAGAACTGTGGAAATGCTGTTTGGGTCAACTAATTAACACTAATGAAAGGCATCCAGATTCATTTCAGGCTTTTTTTTTAATACACAGCACTTATTTTGAAGCATATGGCTGGTATAAGTTACAGAATCGGCACAACAGAAGAGTTGCACATATTAAACAACATTCCAACATTTTGATGCCTGCATCACATCCACTAGTAGAGCATGTGGGTGTGGCAAAGGCAGTGCAGTGAAACAGTCTCTGAGAAGAAAAATGTAAACATGCTGTTGGGATTCTCCCCATCCCCTTCAACCCCATGGATGTTTGCTTTGATACAGCAGGCACATGATTTCCTTTCAGCCTTTCATTTTCCTTTTTGACAGTCCACAATAGACAGATGGGTTTAGTCTTCATAAAGTGCTGATTAGTTCAACCAACAGATTCACAACCAGTTAGCCTCTTTCTCTAAACCAAAGAGCAATCAGGCCTGCATAGCCAAGAGTTATATTATACTTTTTATCCTGCAGGTGGTAGCCTTCAGGTTTTTGTCAAGCAAGCACTTCAATAATATAATCTGTGCCCAAACAGCTGTGGTAAAGGTGTTATTTCAACATTGTTTCCTAAAATAAGGTGCTGTATGGGACAAAAATGGGAAGAAATATCAGGTCGACCTCATTTTATTATTGGCTGTTGTTACTTTCAAGTAGATGCCTGGAAGCTGCATGTGTAGATGAAGGCTGATTTTGATAGGTATTTTTTTTTCTTTTAGAAGTAAAGCCATTTCAGAATACAAACACCACCATGTACTAAACATTCTAACACAAAGTTTTTCAGGGATGTATTCTGTAGACAAAATGTTTCAGAACCATACATATGCACATTAATGGAAAATAAAACCATTCAAATCTGAGGGAAATAAAAGGACTGCTAATGCTTCATAAACCCTTTAAAAGTGCTTTAGCATAGTATTGCAATTAAGCATTCATTTCAGATAGCTTCTGACTTCAGATCTGAGCTATATTCCAAATGACTTCTTTAAATGATGGCAGCTATAACGTAAGCTCATGTTTTGCTGAGTGCCTCATCTCAGATTAAAATGTAGTATGCAGCATTTGGTACAGGTATCAAATGGAGAAGAGTAAATGATTCTAGTAACTATTATGCTTGAAGAACAACCAACAAAAATCCCCACATCAGAATAAAAGGTACTGTATTAATTTAGTCTTTTTAGCCACTGACTCTAAGTTTCCAAGCTTTGGATTAGTATAACTTCTGTTCAAGAGACGGTTTTACATTGAACCAAAGCAGAATTCAACTTATATTGGTTATTTGCTGACAAAACAGTCAGGCTGCCAATTTCAGAAAAAACTCAAGAAATTTAAACTTATTAATGCTAGGATTTCAGATCCAACCAATCACTACATTGTGTGTCTGTTTCAGTCAATGCTTTCATATCACGTGGAGACAAAAGTATTTCCACAGAATGGATATTTCTCTATGTAATTTCACAATAAAATAAACAGAGGACGTTTGGATAGTTTTGTGGGAAACAATTCCAAAGTAGTTTGCAGATGCTGACGCTACCATTTAGAAATGAAATCCACATACTATCAACTTTAATTCCTAATGCAAAGGAAAAAGAATGGGATGGGTGAGTGGAAATCTTTAAAATGGCTTATGTGTGGTTGGTGCACATTTGGTATGCCCATCAAACTGGCTTATTGGAATGACCCAGGAAATTGTCTTCACTTTTAGTATCTAAGTCTGGTAAGAAGGAGGAAAAGCCACAGCTAACCACTGCACATCTGAAGAATTCAATCTATGAAGCTTAGAAGTTCTAGCCACAATGAGCAGGAAAATCTGGGCTTTTTTTTTTAAACCAGCACTTGCTTAAAGAAAAAAAGTGTCCCTGAATATGTTGCCCAGGAAGTTTACAAAGTCTTGCTCTTCAAAAGAGAGCTGGAAGGAAGGGTTGAGGGTAAGGAGAATTTTTTAGCGTGATGACATTCCATAGTTCCAAGCTTGTGCACAAAGCATATCCCTGAAAATCCCTCATCTGCAGGATTCCCTCTGAAGCACAGTCTGCTGGAAGACAGTACTTGAATGATTACTCCTCAGTGAACTCTCTGTCAATGTCCATGTATGCTTCATCAATGTAGCTGATTATGGCACAAGGTGATGTCCGGTCTGGACTAAGTAGTATAGATACAGTCTCTTTCCAGTAGGAGAAACTAATACATGAACTCTGTTAAAGGAGAGAAAAAATGAGTTTAGACTACTGTAGAACGTCAAGGGCATTGCAACCTAACTCACTAGTAATTTAATATACCGCCAAGCACTCTGGACAGAAGCCTAATACCACCTCTGCCCCTTGTCAAACCTGAAGGACATATTAAGAACAGGGCACCTGCATGTACAGTTGAACTCAAATCTGCTTTTAGGAGTGTGCTGTGCACAGGCCATTATGGGACCTGCTGAAGAGCTGGTTCCAATATAAACGATATAATCCTACTGATCTCCAAAAAGATTAAGATCCACCATTTCCTGTTTCCCCTTCAGTCCTTTCTAAACTTCAGGCTGTTAACATCTCTTATGTGAGAGTGAGATAACACCCTTCCCTGTAGTTAGGATTTTTTTAAATCAAACATATTTTTGAATTAAAGTTAGTAATCTTTCATTTTATGCTCAGCTTCTTCCCTGTTTATTGACCATGGAATAGACAATAAGGTGGGTTTAAATGTTAACAGGCCCAAAAATTCAGCCCTATTTGAATCCATCTATATTAAGCATGGGATGTGGTGGCGCTGCAGGTTAAACTGCAGAAGTCTCTGTGCTGCAGCAGTCGTAAGATCGAATCCACACAACAGAGTGAGCACCAGTCGCTTGTCCCAGCTCTTGCTAACCTAGCAGTTCGAAAGCATGTAAAAGTAGATAAATAGGTGCCACCACAATAGGAAGGTAACAACGTTCCATGTCTAGTCACACTGGCCACGTGACCACGGAAACTGTCTACAGACAAACGCTGGCTCTATGGCTTGGGGACGGGGATGAGCACTGCGCCCTAGAGTCGGACACGACTGGACTAAATGTCAAGGGGAACCTTTACCTATATTAAGCACTGACTTTCCGCTCAGACAATGCAGCCTAAAATGAGCCTAACACTTATAATTACATGTCACCAGGTAATTCCAAGATTTTGTCCTAGGGTTTTCTACATACAGAATACTTGAAGTGGTTTACCATTCTCCTCTTCTGGAAGAACTATGGGATTACACATCTCTTCCCCGAGGACACACAGATAGGTAACTAACTCACTGAGCTATTCAGAGGTATTCAGACAGCCAAAAGTAGCCTAAAATTATTTAGGATACAGACATTCACTTAAACACAAGACAACAGTTTAAATTTAATTTAGTCCTAATTAGGGCAAACCCACTGAATCAACAGACACTCAAAGCTGAGATTTACACCAGCTGCATCAATTTCAATGCATCTAGTCTGCTTTTTGTGTTATGCAGGGCAGTGCCAATTTTAGTTCACAAGGAAAAACAGGAATACTACAAAATGTATGTGTTTTACTTCACTTTAAGCTCAATCACAACCATTTAGAATTCTTCACTTACCACACTGTAAAATTGACTGTAATAAACCAATTAAAGCTAGTCTTGCCATCACACTAACCATGATTTAAGAGTAAAATAGCTATTTTCCTTCCTCAAATGCCCTTTCTCCTCTACTGGGCAAGAACTGCAAAATTTAAAAATTATAGCAAAATGGGAGACTGAAGACATACATTTTCTAAGCAGGTGCTGTCCTTATCCTTATTGAGGTAATGTTGTTGCCAGAAACGCAGAAGACTGTGGAAATTATTCAGGATGAAGCCAGGGTATTTCTTTGTGTACTCCATTTCCTGAAGTGTATGCAAATAGAACGGAAGCTTGTCTTTCCTTCGGGCCAGCATTAATATAACTAGACTTGTGTTCAGACAACTTACATTTTCCTACAAAAGTAAAAAGAAGGAAAACATTAATCAAGAAAAAATACTGTGGTGATCAGACATTCCCAGAGCATGTTTTGGATTCAAAAGTTCAAAAAGTATCAATTTCAAGGTAAATGCCAAATTAAGTATTAGGATCTATACATAATTTATAAATTATGGACCCTGAGTATGATTCTTTACCTGTGTGAGTGTCTGTACATGAATAATATTAATGAGTCGGAAAAGGAAGGACATCCTCACAGACATCTGAGACATGTATGATAGCAGACGGCAGTCCGACAAGACTTCTGCAACTACAGGAGATAAGCTATTTGTTAGTTGATAAAGAGCTGAACCAAGAAAATCAGAGCATCATACTTAAAAGCAGGAAGGGAATTGTCAGGATTGCTTCCATTAACAACACAGATATTATTCGAATTGCTTCCTAATCTTCAGCAAATACCCTTCACAGGGCAATCAGCAACATTCAAGGTGAATGGATACTAAGAATTACATTTGTTTCTTATGGCCAATCCACACAAGACTTCATCACATAATAGATGCCAAAAAATTTCCAGTGAGGCCCACGGCTTTTGCTTCCCTGACATCAGAGTTCTGACATTAGGAAAGATAAAATATAGACAGACCAGGACTGTGGTGTGGGCAGATCTGAGGAGGCTCTTGCTGACACATACCAGGAACTGTTCTGTTTCCTTCCTACTGTGAGCAATGGGAAGAAAACAATTTTTTAAGAAAGAGGGGAGGAAAAGGTGAAGTTTAGTGCTCCCTCTTTGGACTGCCTCATTAAAAGCTCCTTGCCAATCTATGGCAAACATGGCACTGGTAAACCATGTATAAATACAGCATTTACACAAATTTGAAAAACCAATCTTTTTTGTATAGCTGCATAAGACTTGGTGGCCATGGACAACAACTGTGTCCAGTAATTCTTAGGACTATTTCTAGCAGTTACCACCTGTCTCATGGCTGTGCAAATACACACAGAAAACATATATGACCAAACACTGTAAACTTTTTTTTTTTTGCCTCGGAAGTGATTACAGTATTACCTTTAATATCTGACTGGCTTTCAAATCGATCCAGAGACAAAGTAATACAACGAACGAGCATGTTGGAATCAACCAGTGAACTGTTGATCTGATTTAAAAAAATCTGAAACTAAAGTAGGAAAAGTCAGGTTTTGTCCAACATCCAATATAACATGAAGTTGAGATTTTTTAAAAAATTGGATTACTGGTTTTTAGATTTACCTTTTCATCTGTATTGATGTATTTATTGAACCTCTTAAAAGCATCTATGTTGAATTTCATGAGTTCTCCTAAAAGATCAAAGTAACTCTGAAGCACATCACGTGACTTGCACTCACTGTCAACAATGCAGTAGAGAATATGCTGGCAAAGGAAAGAACGTGACATATAAAGCCAACACAAACTTGTGTTTTGCATTCAAATCTTAACATTTTGCTTTTTATATATTGGTAACAAAACAGTTTTAACTTCTTGTATTTGTAACACAAAATTATTATGACTCAATGACCAAAATCTTGTTGCTAGAGTAGTAAATCACATTAGAGTGGGCTAATGTGGACTTCAGAAACATTGCTGGGGAAAAAAACATTTACACTACCTCTAGGAGCCCTCTCTTTAGCAGGAACATCTGATCTGCATAGGAAGTAGCACCTCGTAAGAAACTTTCAACTGCCCTTGCTTGCCAAAACCTGGGTGAAAAAAACAGCAGCTTGTTAAGAAACAAAATACACTTTCGATCATTCTTTAGTATAGTTCTTGGACTATCAAACTCCCACCAGAGGTAGCCAAGACAGAAATGCTGGAAGCTGCATCTTGGAGGCCCACATTCTGTCCACCCCAGTATACTGGTTCAGTGCAATAGTTCCCTTTATTTAAGAAAAAAAGCTGATCTTCAGTTTAAGCATATAGCTTAATGGGGTAAATGCTTCCTTGCAAGTATATATCACTATTTTGAATGCAAGGCTTTGACAATTAAGCAGACTTTGGACAACAAAGATATCTTTGGAGACTGAGGCTGAGGTTAGGAAAGATGTGAAACTGAGTACGGGATTCCTGCTCCTGAGCACTGTTCACCTTCATTTGCACCACTTTAGGGCCAAACTATACAAATTTTAAGTCTTCAGGTGAGTAATGAAACATTTTCTATTGCTGGGCCCTGAATATCAGGTTCCCCTAGAAAGAATGTTTTCAAATAGGAAGAAAACACCTCACCTGAATGATGATTCTGCTGGCTCCTTCTTCATTACCTGAAGTAATCTCGTTAGCAAGCCTCTTTTCCCATCACAGACTAAACTTCTAAAATATGGGGAAATGTTACAATGAATAAATTGACAACTGTAGTCTGAAGCTGACTAGCCAACTCTTCTTCAGTCCTACTACACCACCCAGTAGTGCCCAGAAATAAACAAGCACAGTATGTGAGCTCTTACAACGCTACAGCCAAACCTCAAGTTGCTCTTATAATTTGAATCTGCTGTAATCCCCCATAATACTGCTATTGAACTCCCTCTACTGGTACATTTGTCTTCTACTGAATTTCTAAATATCTTTCCAAGAGAGAGCAATTACAGATGCCTATTGTGTGTATTTAAAAGCCTTATACACTTGTTTTTTGTAGATAAACAAAGGCTACTATTCTATGTAATTTTACCTCAGGATAAGCACAATGAAAATAGGACTGACTTCTGAGTAAACATGCAGAGAAATGGCCTGTTAATATCATATTCCACAATATTTAGAACCACATAATCTGAATATTTGCAATTTCATAAGAGAATCTAGCCCAGCAAAAAAATTGTTTTACCAGGTTTTATTTTTTGTAGCCAATATGAAAATACTGTCTCTTCCAAAAAGATTCCACAGTACAAAATTATACTAAAGGCAGGAAGACTGCAAAAACAGGCAACTACAGTTCGTGTTTACTAAGTAACTTGTACATGGCAAACCCAACAAAGTGAAGAAAGAGAAGACCCAGAGGCTAAAATACAAAGAAAACGTTAGCAGGTTCATCATTCCACTTAAAGCAACTAGAAATTTACAAAGCAAGGCAAGAACTCTTGGTGAGGCAAATAAAAAAGAATCAGCCCCACATCAAGGCTCTTGAGGATGTTGCGGATTTTTCCCTCATTCTCCAAAACGACATATCTTACTCATTTTCAAACTGCTTGAAGAGAGAAAGTAAAAACTTGTTTCTACTTATTAAGAGAGTGTACACTACTGCTGCCAAAAAGGTCAATAAACTGCTTCCACAAATTACTAGCCTTGTTTCAAGTAAGAGAAAATAAAGCATTGCACAAGCTTCATTCATAAGCAGGGGCTTTTTAGTACTAAGTCTGAACAATTTGCAAAGACCCATTTTTGATGTAAGAAATATTTTGATAGGGATGCATTATCACTGGCAAACCTTACTCCGGAGAGCCATTATATTATACAGTGATGCCTCGACTTACAACCGTCCATACAACCATTTCGAGTTATGACGAGCTCCAACCACAAAATTTTGCTTCAACTTGTAGCCAGAGCTTCCAGTTACGAACAGAAAAAGGCAGGGGAAAAAAGGCGGGAAATTAAAATTTCTAACTGTAGGTGGCGACGAGGCTGCTTCTTTATAGCTCTTTCGCCCCAGCAGTTAAGAGAGTGTGAGATCAGAGGAGGCTGCCTGATAAGGTAAGGTGCTGTTTTCTGCTTTTAAAAAACTGTTCTGGTGGGTTTTGCAGCATGATTTTGGGCTGGGGGAGTTTATGTTTCTGTGCTTTATTGTTGTTGTTTTTTGGTGATTTTTTTTGTAGCCCCAGCACCTTGTGATGGGGCTTGCTCCTTTGTTTATTTTTGGTTGGTTTGTTTTTTAAAGCCCCAGAGCCTTCGGGGCTTGCTGTGCTGTTTATTTTTGGTTTGGGTATTTTTTTTAAAGCCCCAGCGACAGAGCTTACTGTGTGCTTAATTTTTGGTTGTTTTTCTTTTTTAAGCCTCAGCAATGGAGATTACTTTGGTGTTTATTTTTTTTTAAGCCCCCCCCCCCCACATACATACATACACACATCTTACCAGACAGAATTAGTTTCCCCCCCCCCCCCCCACACATACATACATACACGCATCTTACCAGACAGAATTAGTTTCCATTGAAAGGAAAGGATCAGTTTTAGGAATGGAATCAAGTTATGGTGGACTGCAAGCAATCAGGGAGCAAAAGTGACAACCGGGTAGTCCGATATACATTTTGACAGTTGGAGTTACTTACATGGTGTAGGTCTTTAATGTTTGCAATAACTCAACATAAAGAGCTCATAGGGCTTCAACAAATAGATATGGAAAAAAATGTATGCCAAGAGAAAAAAAAGTATTTATATAGACATGCCTACAGTTCTCTTTACCTGTCTGTGTTGACAACTGCTTCCACCTCAGGAATGTTCGCTTTGAGGGAGATTGCACTCAGTTCATTAAGTTCTTGGCTGTTCAAAAGCAAATACTTGTTCCTAAGAGAAAAATCAGAACAGATGTACTGAGCACACAATCTTTCTTCTTTAAAACATTGTCTATATCCACTTCCCAGAAATACAACTGGTAATAATGCATTTCCTACAAATACTACTAGAGGTTCTCTTCAACTTCATAGGAAGAACCCCCTGGAGTAAAAATGACACTGATATTCAACTAATAGTGTTGCAACACGTTTGGTTTGGAGCCACTAAGGTATGATAATCGTAGCATACACTGCACAAGGAAATGGTGGAAAAGAGTTCCAGACTGAGGAAGGACATTCAATCACTATCCCTCAGAACATTTTGATAAGGAATGTTTTACAGGAAGGTTTAATCTGGGGCAATTTGTTGAAGGTTTTTGTTATGTACATAGTGCCTTCTGGTAGAAGCTGCTTTTCAGTGGGGTCACGGATAACAACCATATAATTCTAACACATCCCATGTCCCAATGCTGGAACCCAAGGGAATTGTCTGCTTCTCCCTGCTGCTGGAACTAGGCAAGGCAGCTCAGTTCTCTTTAAAAGTCAGGCATACCAAAGGAATGTTGGACAACTACTATGTCCAAAGAGTACATGCACTTCTGAAATATTCTGGCCCTTGGTTTATTTTGATCAGGGCTGAAGACAGAGGTAAGGAAGAAGAATTGAATTGTCACAGAAAAGGTACAGTAGGGCAACCAGGTAATTTTTCCATGCTTAGAACAAGGCTCCCTATGTATTTCTATACAGCTTGCAGGTCTCTTGATGATACAGTAGAATCATGACATTCTCCCTGTATTTATTAAAAACACATTTCAGGCTTACAGGGGAAAAACATGAATAAACTATACAGGCCTTAAATAAATATATATCTCAAATGCCATGTCAGCAACAGTCCCTCAAATTTTTGTGTGGAAGGAAGTGCAGGGCTTCCTCTGAAATAGGAAGGAAACAAATTGGCTGCCTGTGCAAAGCCCTAATAGAGTTCTGTGCACGTGTGTGCGCATCTTAGAGGGAATGTTGCATGTCAGTGAGCTGAATTTTACGAGTTTCTAAGGAAATTGCCATATTAGTCTCATTCTTTGGAAATGTAACAAGTAAACATGAAACAAGAGAAGCTACTGCACACACTGTGTGTTATTTTTAAGCTGATTCTAAATATACAAGTTAACTTTTGATGTTGACTTAGCCCAGGTACAATAAAAAATAAAATGTTAGTGGAATACATCTGCTATACAGTACTTACTCATGATGATCACTAAAACTCTGAAGCAGTCTCAAAAACTGGATTTTCAAGGTAATATCCTACAGAAGAAAAAGGTGGACAATTTCTTTTACGGAATGTCATTAGTCAGAACCTGGTGGAAAAATCAAACTGCTATAGACAATCTTTCAAGTCTATGTATTGCATTTAGTGTGACAAGTTTGCTTTATTGATCTCAAAGCAGAATTGTGCACCTGAGCTCCTAATATCCATCTAAAGGTACACATCCTGTGTCTGTTAGTTACAATCAATGTGTGCAGGACTCTGGCAGTGCATTCTAGCAATTCTAAAATGGTTGCCTGAGAATAATGAAAATCAAATGGCTCCGATACAGAACTGCCACTAGTTGTGTGTGTGTGTGTGTGTGTGCGTGTGTACACACACACAGAAGGGATAGTATAGTAACTTGGAGGTAGACCGTGTGTGTGTGTGTGCATGCGTGTGTGCGCGTGTACACACACACAGAAGGGATAGTACAGTAACTTGGAGGTAGACTGTGAAGCAGAAAGCAGGCACCTCCTTTCATACATTCACTCTGATTTCCATAAACTCCAGAAAGACACTAGTATATAGGTTTTACATAGGAGGTCTCAAAAAACAAATACAGTGGTGCCTCGCTTAGCAACGCTAATTCGTTCCAGGAAAAACAATGCTAAGCGATTTAATCGCTAAGCGATTTTTAAAAACCCATAGAAATGCATTAAAACGCGTTTAATGCATTCCTATGGGCTTCAAAACTAATCTTATGCGAAGATCCTCCATAGGGGTGGCCATTTTCGGTGCCTCTAAAGCAAGGACACACAGCACATGGCCATTTTGTTTTTCTGGCGGCCATTTTGAAACCACCAATCAGCTGTTTAAAAAGGGTCGCTTTGCCATGATCACGGGGAAGCGATCATGGCAAAGCGATTTTCCCCCATAGGGACCATCGCTAAGCGATCACTCTTGCGATGGCCAAAACCCCATTGCTAAGCGATTTCGTCGCTCAACGGAGTGATCGCTAAGCAAGGCACCACTGTAAACTTAAGGATGATATCTGTTCCTATACACTGCTTAGACAAAAAAAAATCCACATCACACACATTTGCCAGTACCACTGTATGATCAGGTGTAGGGTAAGGCAGGGGCAGCTCTTGTTTTTGAGTGGGGCATAACCAGGAGGCTTCATTTTGAACTTCAATAGATTTATTAAACTTAACATTTGGAGAGTCAATCACAACTTCTGTAGGCTCAAAATAGCTTAACTTAGGCAACTGCTCATATAAACTACGTAACATATCCATAAACGAACTGTCCTGTTTTATTGTGGAGCTGGGCCAAAACGCTCCCTGTCTGTGGGTTTCCTTAATGGTGCGCTCCTCACCGCACATATCGTGCCACAACATGGGTGGCATGCCCAGTCCCCCTCGAGCGGTGGCTTGTTGAAAGACGTGTTGGGACGAACTGCCCTCCTCAAGTGACCCTGTACCCTTGGGAACACTACCACTGTCCATTCTGTAGTCTTGGTCACGGTTGCTCTGTCTTTATTCGTGATCGGGTCCGGCAACAGTCCTCCCACTTACAAATTAGGGAAATCTTGAAGGAGGTTGCATGCTCTCTTATACTCTCTCCCTCTTCCTTCCTTCATGCCTTCCTTCAGAATTCTAAAGGTTCTCACCTCCTCCTTTCCCTTCTTATGCTGCTCTCAGACTGCGGTCATTAACTCCTCCCCTTCCTTTCCCTTTCCTTCTTCGACCAAACAAATCTCTGTCTTCATTCCTATTTCCTCATTAACATTATCAATGACCCCTTCTGTTCCCTCTCTTGATCTTTCAGTTATAGGTTCCTTTATTTGAGGAGATGGCACACTTTCTACATCTACTCCTCCTTCAAAACCTGGATCTCATAATTTTCACAAGGGATCTTTCTAAAACTACCTGGATATCATAGAACACTCTCATGCACACAGATATTTTCTGTAATCTGACTGTGATTTTGTTGGCAATAATTTGTATTTTAGATGACAAGTCAAATCCTGCAAGCAAGTGTAGAGCACTCTGTGACTGTTCTAGCTTGCAATTTCATAAACTAAAGATTGCCCCATTGGAGGCAATGGGACTTGTATGTATCAAAAAGGATAATGAATACCCACTTGTGCAAAAGATTATAAAAGACAAATATATACATGACAAGCAATTGCTTTATGCAGAAAAATAAATAGCATTTTGGCTCACATTGTCATGCCTTGGTGGAGCCGACAAACACCAGATCTGTAGCTTTTAGTTTGTAGTTTAGAGCAACCAGCTTCAACTTGAATTTAATGATAGTTTGGCAGAGACAGGTGTTTTACTTTTGTGAAAACCAATTCATGAAGATGTGTTTTTGGTTTATAAAATCTGACCATCCTCTTGCCATCCTGATAATGCCACGTCACCCATTTGTTAATTATGCCCTTGGAATGTTCTCTAAATTTCAGATGAGCCCATATGGCTAAGGCTGACGGATCTCTGCGTTATACCAATGACATAAACCCAGTACTCACCGGGCTACAGTCACAGTTCTGGTTATGTCCATGTAGAACAAGAGGTGAAGCAGAATGTTTCCGCCAGATCAATTTATCAAACAAATTATTAAGGCCAGGGATCAATCTGAATTCTGCAATCATTTTGTGAACCTAGACAAGAAACATACTTCCATCAATGTACACCCTTGTCTTCAGTCACTAGAATAAAGCAAATATGTATATCTAAATGTAGAAATAATATTTTTTATTCAAACCAGTTAATCACTTAAGATACATTTGCTTTTCTTCCATTTACAGCAAGGGCAACATTTGGTAAGTTATCCTTTTGACATTTCTCCTTCAGCATTCCATACGATGAAATACCTTGAACATAAAAATATCTTTCTATTTGAACTGATTAGGTTTAAATTTAACCAGTTATGAAACACCCTGTAGTTCAATCGTTTTATGAAGGAATTGTACTTGCGGCTATCTTTTTTAAAACAATAAATCTAAAAATCAGAAAATATCAATAGAAATTAAAATACAAAAAATAGCATTTTTAGGAAAATACAGTAATATGTATTTCAGTCTGGAACAATAGCCATTAGAGATTTCTCTTCTGCAAACACCACTAAGACAAAATGGGAATTACACAATCTTTGTTTCTGTAGAGTGTCTGTGGGATGCTTTCTAAAGAGTATCTTCTAGTGACTTTTTGTTCAGGACTGTCCAAATTTTAATACAGTTTTCTCATGTACCTTTGTTGATCGCAAAGGGTTCTCATGCTAAAAACGGCATATGGTATAGCACTAATTTGTCAAAAACTTAGCTTGGTGGTATTTGTAAGAGGAGGGGGATATGAGCCATCTTCTACTTTATACACCTTTTTAATTTACTAAACATGTGGCTTGAATGGTGTGCCAAGTTCTTATTGCATCAAACAACGAAACAGTTTTCACCATTATGAAAATAACACAAAGGAAAAAGCTACACTTGTCTTTTATCCCAGTGAAGGAGAGAGTTCTCCTTTTAGTAGGTCAGAACTGCAATCTTAGAAATTTAAACTTTTAACATGAACACTTATTTAGAGAGGATGCTTGTTCAGTTCACTGGGCAATTGGAACTCTCTTTCTCACCTGATTCCTTTGTCTTCCCATTAAAAGCACACAGAGAACATACAAAACCTCCAACTTATACATGATCTCATGCATTATTTTCATAGATTGTGGAAGCTGGTTTCTTATTGAGGTGTTGGCAAATCCACTCTCATCTGAAGATTCTAAGACAAACAAAGATATTCAGCCTAGAGGCATGTACAAGAGGCTAATAGCACACACAAAAAATGTAGAATATAGAGAACAGCTGAATTTCATCAGAAATGGTTCATACCAACTAGTAAGCTTGCTGGCATAAGGATCCCCTTTGTACACTATGTAATGAGTGATCCATAGCCTTCCATTTCAGTATTAAAATGTCAAAACAGGAGTATCAGAAAAGCCTCATCAGATACATCTAATACTCCCTATTTAAAAAGTGAAACACAACTGGTACATACCTGTATCTCAAGTACAGTGGTGCCTCGCATAGCAACGTGAATTCGTTCTGCAAAAATTGCTGCAGAATGAAAACGTTGCTATGTGATTTTAAAAAGCCCATAGAAACGCATTAAAACGCGATTAATGCATTCCTATGGGCTTAAAACTCACAGTTCTGCGAAGATTCTCCATAGCGCAGCCATTTCTGGTGCCTCTTAGGCGAGGAATCCATCCCAAAAAACAGCGGGCGGCCATTTTGAAACCGCCGATCAGCTGTTAAACGAATCATCGCTTTGCGGTGATCGGTGCCTGAAACAGGGAACCGATCATCGCAAAGTGAAATTCCCCCATAAGGACCATCGCAAAGCAATCGCTTTTGCGATCGCACAAAATGCGTCGCAAAGTGATTTTGTCGTAAAACGAAGTGATCGCTATGTGAGGCACCGCTGTACAGTCATAAATATTTCCTTTAATGTGCAGGAGCCATATTAAGCCTTTAAAACGTATGTGTACACTTGTATACTTGGCTAAACAGAAAGAAGATACTGGCTCTCACTAGAAATGCAACTGCAAAAATATACAATATACACCAGTATGCCTATTCAGGCACAGTGCAAGGGTTAAGGCAGCATCTATTTTTCAGAACATATGTCATCAGTGCATAGCTACTGAATGAAAAGCTACTTGAATCTTTCAACTTTCAACAACTTTCTCAGGATATACCATATCAATGTTTTTCACAAGGTTCTTAAAACATCCTATAGGATTTATTTTTGAACAGTTTGCTCTCAGATACAGTAGTGATAAAACTAAGAAGATACTAGGCCATTCAATGTAGGTACCTGTGCTGCTTTGCTCTGTCTCCTCATCTGCCACACGCATTAGTGCATCAAGTACAAGCGCATTATCTAGCCAGGTGTACCACTCTTCCAACTCCTGAAGAAAACTTGATGTTCCAGTTGTTTCTGATACTTTTCTGGTTGCTAGTTTACATAACCTCTCAATGAAGCCTGGTATGTTGAGAAGGGTAGCTATAACAAGAAACAGAGAAACATTTTAAAACACTAAACCATTAAAAATTCCATGTACTATTAGAAGAAAGAAGTTTGTTTTCACCTATATGATAGAACCAAAAAAACTAAATTGTTTCTTCAATGGATCATTGCAAGCAAGACTGTGAGAAATTTAGATGAGATTTCAATTCTGACTTCTAAGCTTTCAAGCAATTGAAGACTGTCATTTGCACTCCCCAAATGTTTTTTCAGTCTCTTGCATAGCTTGCAAATTGAAATCAAACACATTTCTTGCTAGCCTATTCATTTTCTGAGTATCTTTGTTTGGAGTGCTTGATGTCCGATGTGAGATATTTTACCTTGATTAATTTCTGCTCGAGAAGGGCCCAAATTTTTTTTCTGCTGAGCATTTTTTGCAAGAAGTGTATGTTTATCATCACTGCCTGTGTCAAGCTCTGAAATCGTAACTGCGAGAATCCTGCAGAAGTTTGCAAGCTGCTGCTGGTCAAAGCTAGAAACTAGACTGGAGAGATTTGGGATATCTTCTAATTGAATCATTTCCTAAAAAGAAACAAATGACATGTTGATATTTAATAAGCCTTATCTTCCAGAATTCTTCCAGGTCTAGATTGTACTCTTTCAATTCACCACTCAATTTAAAATAAAACACTTCACTTCCAAAACTATTTGCTCTCAGATTATGGATGGGAATTATGTGGTCTGTATGTGTCCCCAAGGCCACTTTTTAAACCCCTAGGCCTCATATGGACACCCCCCAAAAGATTATTTTGTTTAAAAATGAGAATGTGTCTGTGTAAACAGATTTCTTGCCAGTGTGTGTTTTACTTTAATGGCCCACCTTCATTTCCTTCAAAAGACCTTAACCCAAGACCCTCCAATATTCTGTATAAAAAGCCTTTTTTTCTTAAATAGACTCACGTATTCCGTCTTTTAACGTGAGCTTTCATGGACCAAGTCCACTTCCTCAGACATAAGATATAAAATATAGCAACTAGTCTTTAAGGTGCCACAATGTTTTTTTCCTCTTGTTTGTTTTTGGTTTGATATGTTTGAAGAGATTAACATGGCTACTTCAAAATTATATTCCCTCTGAAACAATATGGAAATAATTGTTTCCAAGTTTTGGTATTTCTAGCCCCTCTTGAATGCTTTGTTCTTTTCTCATGCTTACAAAGCTAATCAGATCAGGTACATGCAGTCATTTATCAGTTTACGTTGCATCAAACCATGTCTCAAAATACCTAATATGTTCCAACTTTATGTCCAAAATAAAGCATCATGTTGTAAACCAGTTTTGCAAATGCAAATCCAAATAGACTCAAGGTATTAGCATCATTATGATAAAGCTTTTCTTTTTTTCCTCTTCCTCAGAGGTACTGAAGATTGCACCCTTTGGGATAACTAATAAACTTCATGATAAAAACTGATTGCTGAAGAAAATACTACCAACAAACCTTTTTCATGCCTAGGATGTCTTCAATAAGTGTGGCTGTTTGTAGAAATGTCTTCTTGTTTGTCATCAATGTAAATAAAAACAACACAAAATCATTTCTTTCCGCCAATCGCTTGGTGACTCCTTCAGTCTACCAGAATGAGAAAGAAAACACACATAAGCAAAACTTTACACTGCCAAGAAAAAAACTGCACATTACATATTTATTTTATTTATTTATTTAACTTATATGCCACCCACACTACCTAAAGGTTTCTGAGTGGCTTACAACACTTTAAAAACAGTAAAAAGATAAAATGATAAAACAATTAAAATACAATTAAAAATACAGTGCTCTAAAAATTGCCATCAGGACCTACAGTTGATATTATTTTAATTAAAAACCTCCTGCAACAGGAAGGTTTTGACCTGGCACCGAAATATCATAAGATTCAGCACAAAGGCTCTCATTTTTGAATTGTAGTCTGTGCTGTGCTTTCTCTAATTCATGAGTGTACAACAAAGAAAAATATAAAATATTGGTAGATTATAAATAATGTTTAACTCTGCACTCTAATGTAAGTGTCCTTGACAAAGGGATAACAGGAAGAAAGGAAGAATTGCTAGGTTTCCGAATCATTAAGACAAACGCAGGAAACAATTACAAATGATTTTTTCCCTTTTCTTTTGCCAAAACCATTCTTGAATAGTGCTTCAATTAATAAAATCACATTAATACTGGGTATGAGTTAGAACCAGCAATTGACATCCTCCAGAATATGTATGGAAAGAATTTCAATTTTGAAACTTCATTGGAAAAAAAATTATGATACAGATTCTGCTTGCCATTCAGGTCTGCTTGTTCAGACCGTTTGTACTTTCCTGGCTCACAGTCAGAGGACAAAACTCTCTTCTCCTACATCCCCATCCCAGATAACTTCCCATTCACGAGAGCTATAAAGAAGAAAAAATACCCTCCTCCAGCAATCTCATATGATAGGTTGGGGAGGCAAACAGAATGAAAATAGCTTATGGAATCTAGTATGTGGAACCTGTTGGGCCAGGCAAGAAGAGTATCATTGATGCATATAAAATACTGTTAAGTAGTACAGCAGGACCCCTATATCCACTGGGGATTGGTTTCAAGCCCCCAAATTGATACTGAAAATTGTGGCTAATAGTGAGCTCACACCTTAAGGTAGAGTTTTAAAAAAGAATAAAAAGGGTATATGCATTGCCAGAACTGGCCACTATAAAGCAATAGAGGCCATGCTATGTAATTTTTTTGCCGACAAGTATTCATAGCACAATGTATACATGAAGGCTTTCATATGATAGCCTGGGAAATCCACAACAACCATTCATAGCACAGTTTCTGTCTCCTTCTCATGGTCAGATCTGGTTATATATGTGAAAAATGTTTTTTTCTGGATTATTTTCTTTTCATATTTTAATATTTTCAGACTGTGGATAAGTCATCCTGCAGATAGAGGGGTCTTACTATATCAACTTTTTTCTATTCTACATTTTACTTTGCTATAAATGTACAGTATTATATGCTCAGCACTGAATTTTAGTTGATAAAAGATTCTAAAAAGGAATCTTTTATAAACTTGGATTGTGCAACATTCGAAACATGACTGAATTATGATTTAAAAATGACAGATTAGATAAGTTTTTAATAAAATATTTAACTGAAAACTCTTTGACAAGGAGATATAAATTACCACACTAAGACATTGGATAGCTAACCACTTAAATGGTTAACAGCAAGAAAATCTTTACAAAACAAGGTTTTTAGACAAAATACAAGAAACATACTGACATACTGTATTATGTGAAATGCTACAGAACTGTCAGCATTACAAATGCTGAGGTTCACCACATTAATTTAGTGCTTCATATTTTGCTTTAGCAGGTCAAGAAACCTCTGAGCCTAACTGCATCAAAAAGTCAAAGCTGTTAATACATAGACTATGACTTACACATATGCAAGTGTTGTACAATATACTTAAACAATCCTTGATAAGGTCATCACTTACTGTAAGAGACAAAACACTAGTTAGTACCCCCTGAACTATCTTATTGGAAAGTTACACCTATATGGATAATTTCGTAATATGCTATTTAACACAAACAAATACATGCAAGGATTGCAAGGATTTTTTTAAAAAAAATGACAGGCATCTTGGCTATTAAAATCCAACACCTTTAGAGTTAATGATGTAACTGGGGAATGGAAGGCATGCACAGTTAGATAGGTGGCAACCCAGGACTGAGTTACCTCTCAAATGTGACTTCTTGTATTGGAACATATTGCATACCTCTTGACTATTTGCATGCTGCCTAGTGCTTTTCATTTCTAACTGGGGAATGGAAGGCATGCACAGTTATGTGACTTCTTGTATTGGAACATACTGCATACCTCTTGACTGTCTGCATGCTGCCTAGTGCTTTTCATTTTAGACAGCAAATGAAAACCATGCTTTTTAGAGATTTCTGGTTATCATTCTGAATTGCTGTTTTCTGCATTTTAGTTCTATAAGTTGTCTTGGAATCTCACCTACCTCTAGACGAGATAAAAATATTTTAAATATGAATAAATAGTATCAGGCCTGACCAAAGCTAAACATATAGAGGGGACTGCCAGTCATTATTATGGCAGGTAGGCAATTTCTTCAGATCAAGTGCACAAAGGAAATGTGAGATACACTGTAAAAAGTTGCTTGTGTTTTAAATTGTTTTCCTGCCAGCATAACACCTGGCAGTTGCTTTACAATACTTCTAATCAAAACCAAAGCCAAGGGTATTTTTCAAAACAAGTTTAGATCATCAATCAATTAGGAATTGTGAGACTGAGACTTAAAATTCCTTCAGTTTAAATCCTTTGGAGAAATATGATCTTTAATTTACAATGTACTGCCTCAAAACTATGGCCTAAATGCAATATTAATTCCAATCATAGCAGATTCATTAAAATCAAAAGAACTATGCTACCTATGACAAAAATATCTCGTTCATTTCTGTGGCCTAACTCTAGTTAAGATTACAATTGGATTTATCCTCACAAATATTAGGAACTTAGATAAAGCTGAAATTTTCACACAGAGGCAAGAAAAAGAACAATATTAACACAACTATAATAGTGACCAACTCATTTCTTAATATATGAGGAAATACTGGATCTAAAACAAGGCTTGGTGAATATCTAATTTACTTACTTTTTTGGTTCTTCTTCTGTGTAATAAGAGTTGGTCTCATAAGTATTTCTACTAGAAGCTGTAAATTACATACATTATTACATTACATTAACCTGAAAACACCATGACAATTACTTTAACAACTAATTTCAACTACTGCAATATTAAACAAACTATTAAGTATAAAACACGTATCTTTTTTGCTATATAAAACATCTAAATGACCTGCCTTTACTATACTTCTCTTGAAATCAATAAAAAGTGATGAGGCACATAGCATTTTCTACAGTAATTTCCCTTGAGCATTTGAATTCTTCTATAGACAATTTTCTATTTCTAAAGAAAATTACTGTTTCATAACATTCATTAATAAGAACGAATGAACAACATTAGGCAAGTGATTCTACAGACAATGGCCAGAATCCTACTGTGGATTTATGCTGGCATAACTGTAATGGTAAACTGCCACAAATTGAGTTGTGTTTTCAGTGGAAGTGTTAAATCTATCGAAAACAGATGACGGAACAACTGCGGCATAGCTCACTGGATATGCTAAAGTTAGCACAACAATGATTTTGAGTGTCTTTCCCTCCTGAATTTAAACAAACAGATAAGGGAAGTAGATGCTGTTGCAGCATTTTAAAAACAAGTGTTCTAATAAAAAAATGTGTACATAAAGCTTTGTATTTATTTGACTATTGTATTTAAACCACATTATACAGTACTGTATGTGCTTTCCTCACTTAATATACCTGTTCAAAAACTTATAAGCTGTTGAGATATAAAATGTTTTGTTTGGAAATAAAGGAAAGTCAAATTAGGCTAAATCATATTACACTCTTATTTGGAGCCCTAAAAACATTTCCTGAAAATTTAAATGATGGCTTCACATCCTGACTACTCTGGAAGCCATTAATCACAGTCCCACTGTGAGTGGTGCCACATGCATGCACGCTCCACCACCCCCCGTAGGCGCACCACACCCCTACGCGAGCATGCCACCCCCACCCCCCAACCGGTCCACAGTTGGGAAAAGGTTTGGGACCACTGGTTTAAACCACACTTACGACGATCTGTTAGTAATCTAAGGTGCCACTTTGCATCTTTAAAGAGAACCCTGCTGTTTTCAAGTTGTAAACTGTGACCTTGTTCTCAATCTACAGCTGATTTTTAGTTGGGTCTATCCAAGAATCATCCTTTATGATCACAACATATGTATGTACATCTATGCATATATCTATACACATACACATACTCTGGTTCCAGTTATCAACAACATTCCATTCCATTAAAGTGCAAATATTGCAGGACTTTTCTTCAGGTTAGGCTCCTCTCAAAAGCAAGATTTTTTAGTGTTTTAATAAAGGGATCACCCACCCCTAGGTACTGGAGTTTGAATAAAGACCCCTTTTTTTGTTCCTCTTCTATTAAAGCAAGGTGTCAACAGAAATTTGATAAAATATGCAAAACCAAAGAATGTAATTTGAATAAATCCAACTGCATTCTACTGGGTAGTTATTAATTAAATATATTTTTGGATCTTATCCATCTGTGAGTTTACTAAGAGCTGCATATCATTTCTCAGCTTAGCCACTCCTCGGCTTTCTTAGTACTGTATTGAGATAAGGATGTGCTATAGGTTCTAGAAAGCTAAGTGGGAGTATCAAATGTTTGTTTCCTGCTGTGGGCCCAAGGGCACAACCTGAGTCTGCACCAGCTATGTGTACCACTTCTGACCCAGCAAAAGCTGGGAAGCTAATAAAAATAACTCTGTGTGGTCATTTCTGATGTATGGTGACCCTTTTCAGGGTTTTTTGGGTAAAGTAGTTGGAAGTGGTTGACCATTCCCTTTTTCTGGGGGCAGCCTGAGACTGTGCAGCTTGCCGAAATCCACACAGGTTGGCTTTTCTCCCTGGAGGCACAGTGGAGAATTGAACTCACAAACTCTGGCTCTGCAGCCTCACTGAGGCTAGGAGGAACCAAATGGGCTGTCATACACATAACAGATGATGCATTTAAGACAGATCTGGGGAATCCTGCAGCTCTTCGGACATTGCCCTCATTTTCTATCAGCCTTGACCATACCCATTCTAGGGTTGATGGGAGTAGCAATTCGTTAATATCTGGAGGGCCACAGGTTACCCACTCTGGCTTTAAGGTGAATTTGAAATGTACAGTTGTTTGGCATAACACAGTGTGTCATCAGGGGCATTCAGTACCAAATGATTACACCAGGGACATCTATATACTGTACTTCACTGGAAGTAATTCAGAGCACAGTGCTCATGATGAAAAGCCTTTACTCAAAATACATTGGACAGAATAGATTGCACACGTCTAATGCACCTTAAAAAGTCTTGTGTTTGTAGTGACACCCTCTATTCTTTATTCCTCTGATGCCATGTGCGGCCCACGGCTGTATCAGCCAGACATCCTTGCTAGTGAGAAAAAAAATGAAGTGAAGCCACATGAGTGCCACCATTTCCTTATTTCATCTGCTAATACTTCACTTGGCATGTTAGACTATTATTGCATTTCACAATGTGTTACTGTTATCAGAAGCCATAAATCACTTACATCAACTCCTCCAAATAAATCAAATGTGTATGTATTTGGAAAAGTAGATTCCTGGGCAGGCTTCCTTTCTTCTGTCACAAATGCCATGGCTTCCATTGAAAGGAGGGGGGAAATTTCCTGGCAGGAAACAAAAGAAGTTGCAAACACTCAGGCAGACTTCATACTACAATATATTATTGAAGCTAGCTAAATGAGTTATCAAACAATAGTTCTCATATTTTTAGAACATACAAATATACAATACCAGATGACAAATTTAATCTTAAATATACAGTACTGTTACATATTAAATATACAGATAAATAAATAAATAAATAAAATTAAAAGAACTATACCACCTAGACACTACCTTTGGAATAAAATATCCCACTGATTTCAGTGTATTTAATTTAATCTTAAATATACAGTACTGTTACATAGTAAAAGAACCATACCATCTAAACACTACCTTAGGAATAAAATATCCCACTGATTTCAATTGGTCTACCTCAAGTATGGCCATATCCTGACTCAATCTAATATGTTGTCAGTTTATAAAAAACATTAAAAAATAATTTCATATAAGTAACCTCTGAGCCAATACCCAACAATAATCTTAAATATACAGTACTGTTACATAGTAAAAGAACCATACCATCTAAACACTACCTTAGGAATAAAATATCCCACTGATTTCAATTGGTCTACCTCAAGTATGGCCATATCCTGACTCAATCTAATATGTTGTCAGTTTATAAAAAACATTAAAAAATAATTTCATATAAGTAACCTCTGAGCCAATACCCAACAATGACCCTATTGCAACTTCCACTGCAGAAAAGCGCAGGCAAAATGATCAAGGGCTTTCTTACAAGTAACTTTCTTACAAAAACGTTTTAAACTTTGGACCTGTTTATTTTAGAAAAAAACAGACAAATGAAGACAATAGAATATAGGCTAATAAAATGATGTATATGTAGCATGCAAGAGAAGAACTGAATCTGCATTATTACCTTTGTAAAAATCAGTGGCTTATGTGTAACTTGTGAGCTAACGTAAATATAGGAGAAAGCTGAAACTGAATCCAAAACAGATCTTATTTCAAGAAACAGCCAATTAGCTAACTAGAATAATTACCTTTAATATGCTTTGGCACTGAGAAAAATCACTGTTGGGATGACTGTTCTCATAAAGCTTTTGTAGAAGCAAAGGAATGCCATTCCACTTTGCTTGTTTATCTCTTTCCTTTAACAAAGCTTCCGGGATCTGCAAGACAAGACCACAAACATTTTTTTAAATGGAGCAGATAAGCATTTTCAGGAACAACATAAATATATTTAAATTTTAGGTCAGGTTTTTATTTTAAATCTAAAAAGTGCAGGTTTTCCTTGAGCAGAATTTCACTTGGGGGATACTTCCAATGACAGAGGCAAGGGCAAATGGCCCTTTCCACAAATGAAAAAGTACTCCAGAGAGTTAAGGTGCACTCTGCAACAGACGGTATCAAGTACATATTGCTGATAGTTTCAGAGAAAGGAGAAGATCAACAAATGCCTCCCAGTGAGTAGGATTCTTCCACTGGATCAATAACTGGATTAAATAAATAGGACCTTTCGATTTGCAGATCAATCTAGAAGAATATCTTGGCTAGTATTAAATTGAAAAAAGGATCTTTAGTTAATCACTAAATTGACTCACTGGACAAAATCCTATTGCATCCTGTGTGCAACTTGACTTGTGCACACAATAGTTACAATTGTGTCATGGAGGAAGCGCTCTTTTTGAAGCACTTCTCCCAGGGCATTTTGCAATAGGTTGCACAAGAGACATGTACAACTGCATAGCGCAATTCCATCTTGCAAGCATAATGTAACGGCCTCCTTCTACCTCACAAAGGAAGGTCGCTACGTCACTCCACTGTTACTCTTCTGGTAGTCTGCCACCAACCATCCCCTGCAATAAGTATCTTCAGGCCGGAATGGATTTCAAACAAAATAACTAAAGTTTATTGATTGGTACATTGAGATTGGTATAACAAATAAATCAGGTAATCACATAAAGAAAGGCTCTAGCTCACACAGACTCATATCTCCACACAATCTGATCACTATCTCATCTCAACACTCACAGATCCCGATCTGCCCCTCACGGATCTGTGACTTGTGCACACAATAGTTACAATTGTGTCATGGAGGAAGCGCTCTTTTTGAAGCACTTCTCCCAGGGCATTTTGCAATAGGTTGCACAAGAGACATGTACAACTGCATAGCGCAATTCCATCTTGCAAGCAATTGCATCCTGTGTGCAACTTGACTTGTGCACACAATAGTTACAATTGTGTCATGGAGGAAGCGCTCTTTTTGAAGCACTTCTCCCAGGGCATTTTGCAATAGGTTGCACAAGGGACATGTACAACTGCATAGCGCAATTCCAACTTGCAAGCATAACACCTGGCACATTTATGCATGCAGTGTAACTCCTGCCAACCTAGCAGTTCGAAAGCATGTAAATGTTAGTAGATAAATAGGTACTACAATGGTGGGAAGGTAATGGCATTCTGTGTCTAGTCATGCTGGCCATGTGAGCACGGAAACTGTCTTCGGATAAACGCTGGCTCTACGGTTTGGAGATGGGGATCAGCACCGCACCCTAGAGTTGGACATGACAGGACTAAATGTCAAGGGGAACCTTTACCAACTTTACATTACGTTGATGTGAACAAGACTTTACCCAATGCCTTCTATCCAATACGTTAAATACAAGAAGCTTTTCTATGTAAATGAAAAATTAGGTTGCTTGTCTCTAAAATGTGGGTTACTGACACTGTCATCTACCAAACATATCTTCTCTATTTTCTCTCACGATAAGCTGATTTTATTAGATTTGCCTCAACAGATCAGTTGCAAGCATCTTTGTTTCGCTCTATTTTTGTGAGAGTGACGTTGTGACAAAGTACACTGGACCACAAAAGAATATGGAAAAGAAGAAGAAATAATGTGAAGGTTGTTATATTATTATGACTAACCTCACAAACTGTCATGGCCTCAGCTCATAAGACAACCTTACATGGAAATATTTTGAAGATATTCCCTCACTAGCACCATTTTTCAAACTGTGGACCCTCAACCTAGTCAATGAGTTGGATCAGCAACAGCAACAGCAGCCACCTGCACTAGAAAGGTGGAGGAGCAGGTTAAAAAGTAAGGCGGTAACACACAAGGTTGGATAGAAGGGGAAAAAATTACAGAGAAAACAAAATGTGCCTAGCTGGAAGTGACAGAAGGAAGAACAGGAAGAGGTAGCAACAAGGCAAAAGGAAGTAATGGACAGAGGGAAAGGGAAAGAAGAAATCCTAGGGGATTCTGTAAAATCATCTGTATTTTCTGCCCATCTGTTTCACTCACACAGACACCAATATCATTGCTTGCAAGTCAAGAGGTGTATATATGTGTGTGTGTGTGTGTGTGTGTCTCTCTCTGTGTGTGTATATATATACTCTATTTTTTCCTTTATATGTATATATACATATACATATGTATGTATGTATATGTGTGTGTGTATAAGATGTATGTATGTATATGTGTGTGTGTGTATAAGATAGAGTATATACACACACACACATATACACACACACACTGTATATCTTACACACACACACACACACACACAAATACATATAAAGGAAAAAAGAAAAGCCAGACACCATTTTTACTGACACTACTTCTCATTAGAGGTATCCAAATCTAAATTAAGTAATGTTAAATTTCTAGAAACCTGACCAATTCCTTGGTATTTTCTGAAGCACAGACTTTGTCTGATATTCAGCTTACTTTTGAAACAATGGGCTTTGGAAGAGCTTTTAAACAATGGGATTTGCCACTTCCTATATGGAAATGTCTTCCTATTTATGAAAGACACCAGGATCCATTGAAGATTTCTTGTTGGAGCTGACTAATTCTTCATTTTTCTGTGAACCCTCTACATTGCTGCTATCTTAGGAGATGCAAAGAAAAAGAGAAAAAACAAAGATTATCTCCCTAATCCTTTCTTCCAGCAGAAGCTGAACACAACAAGAACCCATCTCTACTACCCATTTTAACTTAAAAGGCAGTAGAGGCTACTTGAAAAGTAGCATATTATGGATTATATTTTATTAAAATTAGTTACAGTAAGTTTTCATTAAAATTAGTACATCTGAGTTATTAATGACTAATTTTTTTCAGATATTTCAAAGGGACCTATGCATCACTAAATTAATCTGGATCAAACCAAGTATCTCTTAAGAAAAATGTTAATTGTGCAGTGAATCAGCCAGGAAAGGAGTTAACCATCAGTACTTCTAACTTCTCCTGTTTCCTGATGTTCTGACTTAAATATCTCAAATGATTTTTTTATCTTTTCATTGAAATCAATTTGTTGTAAGCCACACAGAGACCTTTGGGTAGTGTGGGCAGCCTATAAATAAAATAAATAAATAAATAAATAAATAAATAAAATGATACAACATACAGGGGCACAGTTTTCAATAACAAGCATTAGATGTCAAGGTAACATTTTCAGTGGTAAAGTGTAGACACTTGACTGCAATTTTCAGCATTTTTTTAAAAAAAATCTGCAAATAAGAATGACTACTTAAGACTGGCAACAGTGCTGTAAAAGCTAAAGGAAAAAAAATCAAATGTTTAGTCTTTTCTACACTTAAGAGAACACACAAATGACTCTTTGTGTCAAACTAGACAGTATGTAGGAGTTCCATGTTTGGAATGACAGAACATTTAGAAAAGGCTGCCCTATTCCCTGATACAGGTTGACAGGAGGAAAGAGCAGAAGAACAGAAGAAGAGCCCAGCTGGATCAGGCCAAGGGCCCCTCTAGTCCAGCTTCCTGTATCTCACAGTGACCCCACCAGATGCCACTGGGAGCACTCAAGATAACTAGAGAGCTGTCTCCTGATACCCCTTCCCCTGCATCTGGCATTTGGAGGTACCTTCCTTTGAAGCCTGGAGATCATACATCCCCATCATGGCTTGTAACCTGCGATGGACTTTTCCTCCAGGAATCTGTCCTATACCCTTTTAAAGGCATCTAGGCCAGATGCCATCACCACTTCCTGTGGCAAAGAGTTGCACAGACTAACAACATGCTGGGTAAATAAATATTCTATTTTGTCTGTTCTCTCTCCCCCAACACTTAATTTGAGTGGATGTCCCCTGGTTCTAGTATTGCGTGAGAGGGAAAAGAACTTCCCCCTATCCACTTTATTAATCCCATGCATAATTTTATACATCTCAATCATGTCCCCCCTCAGGCGCCTTTTCTCTAGACTAAAGAGTCCCAAACGCTGTAGCTTTTCCTCATAAGAGAGGAGCCCCAGCCCAGTAATCATTTTAATTGCTCTCTCCTGCACCTTTTCCAGTTCCACAATGTCTTTTTTGAGGTGTGGCACCTGGAGCCGTACATAACACTCCAGGTGCTGCCTTACCAGTATTTTGTACAATGGCATTATAATGTTGGCTGTTTGATTTTCAATCCCCTTTTTAATGATATTGTCCCACTAAAAAATCACAATCCCCAAATTTAATATTTTCCAAAGAGGGAAAGTGACCCTAACAGTACAGAAAACTTTTTTTTTTCTGAAGCAGGACAGATAGTAGCTGGAGGGGGGTTGATTTTCAACAGGAAAACAGCATGATGAAAGATTAATCTCTTCTACTGATTTAGATCTGGTGATCCTTTGGCAGCTTTTTGCAGAAGAAAAAACTAAGAGAGTTAGCCAGGGAACTCATATATAAAATGTGGTCTGGTGTGCAGATTTCTATGCTCTTAAATGCACGTTCCATGATGGGAACACTACGCCTGGACTGTAAAACTTTCCTCTTCGGTAATACAGTTATTTTAGAAACCTTTTAGAGTGATCTATATTCTCAAATACGAGAGTACCTTTTCAGTTCCTAACAGATTACGTATACCTTTTCTATTTCACTGCCAATTTAATAAGAAAAATAGTTATTACAACCATGGTTCATTATGTTAGAAAAGATTTAGAGATATGTAGTTAATTTAGTTTAGAAATTGCCTAAATAGTCCCAGACAATGAGGCCTATTTCACATTCAGTTCCATAAACAGTCAAGTATGTAGCTAAGGAAAACTTCTCAAGAAACTGCATATACATATGTAACAAGGAGAAACATGCAATCATAACATGTATTTTAATAGCTTTGTAATATTTTTATCAAACACACAACAGCAAGAGGATACAGCAAAAC